AAATTCGATTAGTACAACCAGAGATTCCCCTGAACAACCAAATTCACAAACTTTTATTTTCATCTATGTTGCTATACTATTTAACTACAAAAATATGAATTAATTAGCAAAACAAATCCACGGGTTACAAACCTCTTTAATACTAGTTTAGATATTTAATGATCCTATAAAATACACCATATAAAATGGATGGTAATTTGCAAAGTAAACATTAAATACCATTGACATTCATCCCGCATATTCGTAAAACGCTAATGATTGTCCCCGTAGATGCGCGCACGCATTCTGCATTACAACCGCGTTGCGGTCAAGGTCATTGCTTGGGTCATGATGCTTCCTGGTTATTTTTTTTATCACAGCTGTACCGTGACATTCAAATTCGACTGTATATGTGACCTCGGCAAATTGGGAGAACTTGGAAATAACAACTTTCTAACATTAGGTCAATAGTCAGATTTGAAATATATTAAGTAGAAGTGCTACATGGCAGTAAATATTCACACAAAATGATTAAAAATGTAGTTCTGAACATTTATTTAAAAGAGCAACACGCAAACATCTTGCTCATTCTTTTCATGTTGAGTCTGCTGCTCCGAATGAGTGATAGAATAAAAAATAAGACTATTTAAAAGTGGTTATATTAAGTTTCTTTGTATATAAAGATTATTTCTATTTCTGGATACTATATACACGGTATTACTGTCATTTTAGTCGACCCATGACCAAGACTTTTGTAACAGCATCAAACCCTATATTGTGATGCTCTATATATTATCATGTTACTACATAATGGCAAATATCTCAATATCGAAATTTAACAACGTTTACTACTCTGACTTACACTCAAGAGATCGTGAGTTCAAAACTAGCGAATTATCGTTGTCAATGTCCTAAAACGCTACATCATCAAGGTAATCAAAATATAACAAATGATACACACACTTGATTTGTATACAATTACGACGCTGAAGTTTCCCAATATTTTTTTGATCGTCGACAAGTTTTCCGAAATATGCATTGAACAAAAAAAATTGACAAGAAAAAATTAACATAAAAATATAATTCCACATGGTCAAAGTAAACAGGCTAGTACTCAAACAAAACATGATAAATAGACCACGTAATATGTACAATAAACATAGCTTTATACCCGGATCCTGAAATGTATATTTAGATGATTTAATTTGAAATCCGGTTAGTGTCGCCATTCGTGACTAGAATTTATACAATTCAGTTTAAACTCTCTATTAAATTAGACGTAAAATGGCATATTTTATGTTTTAAAATATGTTCGTACTGATTGTTACTCGCGACTTGGTGTGCTTATTTATTTGAGATTTAAGAAATATTCAGATAACAAACAGTCAAATAAGCACACTTTTGGATTATAATACTAGTACTAAAATATGGACAAATGAAATATAGCTGATCGCTGTCTAAACTATATTATCACACATATTTTTTCATTAAGCTTCCAATTTATCAACATAATAGAAACCTCAGAAATCGCGTAACCAATTTATGTTTTCATATTGTACCACAATGGCTTCATTTAACATTTAATTTTTTTTCTAATCGATATAGAACCAAAATTTGTATACAAATATTGTTCCGAATATAAAGTTAGTATATAAATGTACGATATAGACACAGGCTTGTTTGTTATATATATGAAAAAAATATGTACAGTGCCTCGAAGCCCAGGCATCGATATAATGTTTACATCTCAAAACTTTTTTATTTAGAATTGAAATTTAGTGAGAAGCAATTAGGTGTCATAATATCTCTCACCATTCTGACGCTAATTTGGAACTGAAATTGGAGCAGTTGCGACATCTATTTATTTATACGTATATCTGTAGCTTCAAATGTCCTAGATATCTTAATATATATAATTCTTCTGTACATGTGTTTGTCACATGACTCCTAAATGGCTCGAACAATTTGAACGAAATATTCTTTTGTATGCTAAATGGCTCTATATATAAATACAAGTTTAGATATATAAAATGTTAGTATTCTATACTTAGATTCCTATTAAATAGGTATAACGATGGTATACTGCGCAGTTTAACTTAGTTTATTTAGTCTACTTAGTTTCTAAGAACATTGATTCATACGTCTACTACATAAGATGTATGTTATCGTTTCTTATTAATATATGTAGAAGGACACAGATGTGACAACAAAGAATGGAAAAATGTAGAAATTATGTTCTGGGACCTACCCAATGTTACGTTGTAATTTTATTTGTGGAGAGTTATGAATGTTATTAATATTATTATAAAGTTGTATTTTGTACAGACTCAAGACTTTAGCATCATTTCTTCTAAGAAATATTGTACACCGGTATGATCTAGACTATAAATCGTCATGATATAGAAAAACTTGTTTCGTAATTATATTAATAATATACATAATACATATTAAGTTAAAAAGTTCGTTTGTTCGATTGAACCAGCTACTATTAAATTGAATTAAAGAATCTTTTAGTTTTGGATAGCCAATTTCTCAAGAAAGGCTATAAGCAATATAACATCACGTTACGGCTATTGTTATAACAATGAAAACCACTGACTAATTTCGACGGTCTCAGTGGTCTCGTCGTTTAGAACACCGCCATACTTCCGGTGGTCGCGGATTCGATTCGCACAGTACTAAAATTATTAATCGTCATAAGTATGATTGTTTACATCGGTTTAGTTATTTTCTATGTATATTATATAAGTATTTACAAGAAAATGTATCTAAGTATGCTATTAGTCCTCTCCTACCCATAACACAAGTTCTGCTTAGCTTGGGACTACATGGCGTGTGTACTGTCCACTGATGTATAATTATGCGGGTCAGCTAACTAACAATAATTTGTAATATGAAGGACTTTAAACATAAATTTTCTCATAGAGTAATCAACAATCACAGTAAATAAGACCAGTCAAAAGTAAAGCCTGTATACTGACTTGTGCTAGTCACTTAAATTGTGTTTCTTTGCGAATTAAGCGTACTTCCTACATTATATAGTTATTAGTATTCATACGACAATGGGGGAATAAAATATAAATATCTTAATACGTAGAGTGCAATCTAAAGCTCAGCACACAGTTAAATAAAATTAGGTATGTTCCTTAGGTCAACTAAGTAACTAGCAACAGTTGTTTTATGGCTTGTAAGTGCTTACCACGGTCCCATCCTTTTAATTTGTTAACAGTTAAATTTGTATGAATACTAGCTGACCCGCGCAAATTCGTCTAACATTTATCATTGTAGGTACTGCCCAAGTCGTATAATGTCTTTTTAAATTATAACCTATGTATTATTCTGATGTATAAGCTATGTTACTGCAAAGTTTCATTAAAATCCGTTTAGTATTTTTTTATGAAAGAGTAATAAACATCTCTCCATACTCAGAAACTTTGCGTTTATAATATTAGCAAGATAAATTATTTATTAGTCATTATTTAGTCAAAGTATTTTCGTACCAAAATTTAAATAATAATAATTTAATATACATCTATCTAAAAATTGAAAATCGTGAAGGACAAATATGTAGAAAACGTTATCAAAACCGAACTGTCCGAACTGAACCTACTGTCTAATCATTCGCTTGTATGTTGTTGCTTTTTTATTTTCGCTTAATGCGGGCTGATTTGCAGAGAAGACCACAATATCAAGTCTACCATAAATAATGTGTTAATAGAGCAAGAGATCCAACGACAAGAGCGCTGCTCTTAAATTTATACTAATATTATAAAGCTGAAGAGTTTGTTTGTTTGTTTGAACGCGCTAATCTCAGGAAATACTTGTTCGAAATGTAAAATTATTTTTGTGTTCTAATCTATTTGTCCAGCTATTAAGAGCGTAGCAAAAATATTGCAAAAGGGGGGAAATGAAACGCAGACGAAGTTGCGCGGGTCAGGTAGTTATGAATAAATTGGTTAACAAATAAATAATGCAATTCATCATCACAGCACAGTGCATCTTAATATCAGAGAACAGATTTTAGTGTGCGTTCACCACAAACTTATTTTTATCAAAATGTACATTGAACCTGCCACCTTGCGAATTCGAAACCTCAAGGTTGAGCTCAGTAGTCCGTGAAAGACAATGACGTCATTTCTTAACACAATAAAGGCGTGATGACCGAGTATTTAAAAATAAATTTTACAAATAAACATCGTTTGCGTTCGTAACAATATTATAAGGGAGCTACAGAAGAGTAAACTCTGTCAATTAAAAAAAGAATCATCAAATGCGGTGTAATTGAGGAATTTGTTACTTTAAATTTCCTATCAACAACAATAACACTATTAGATTTAAGTAGTATTTATCTAGTACTTAGTAAGTTTATAAAAATAAAACTTTTTACTGTTTAGCAAAAATTAGAGCAACAATCTGAACATTTTTTGTTTTTGGTCGTTCGGACGTTAGAACATCTGTTGTTTTTTATAGATATAGATTTATATACCTATCCGATTTTGAAGTTTCTCAGAATCTTATTCTTACTATTTTCCGTGAAATACATGTGTGGCCAAATATTATTAGTAAGGTAACTTACTTGCATGTAGATACCATTAAGTTATGACCCACATACTTACAGTGTACTTACATAGATGACTACTAAGACCGATAGAAATATGCTTTATTAGTTTACACCACAGTGTTACACAAAGTAAAAATAACATGTAATCGATCACACAAATAAACAACGACTTGCGTTATAAAACGAGCAGCTAAATGCTATCTCCTCCAGTTAACCTGTGGATGGACAAGAATAACATTATTATCTGGTTAGAGACAATGTTCTTAATTTAAAAATACTGCGAGATGAGGTACATTTTTTATTAAAAAGTTACTGTTTATGCATATGATGTAAACTAAATCACTCATAAATAAAATAACATTAATGTCGAAATCCTACAGACTGAAGTGATCCACAGAACGCACGTTCTAAATATAAAAATAGAAATTCTCAATACACATTAGCAACGTGCGCCCGGCTTTTAGTATTTAGTAGTTCCTAGTTAACCTTCAATGCGATCAATTAATTATATATTTACAGCAAAAAGAGTTTGTTGAATTTATATATTCACAATGTCTCAAGAAAATAAAGGTTTTTTTAAAAAGTTCCACGACACAATAAACCAAGGAATTGACGACGTGGCACGGAATAATTTCGCTAATTTAGAATGCAACGCGAAGCGTGCATCCTATTTATGTAGTCTCCCTGTTATTAAAAGCTACGATTTATCAGCTGACGTAGTGAAATGCCAAGCCGGCGGCGAATTCCCAGTGAAAAAAGACGTGGTAAAAGCCAAACAGCTGAAGGATGAAGGGAATAAAGCAGTCCAGAAAGGTGACTGGGCCAAGGCACTGGAAATGTACAGCCAGAGTATGATATTTATGCCAAAAACAGAAAGTGAGTTTTATTTCAATCTTATCATATACCTATATATTTTTATTTAGTACTGTAATAGTAGTTCTATACACGTATACTTGTTTATTTTGTGTAAACATATTGAATTTGATTTTTTTTCATTTTCTGTAATTAACAGGATTTACTTTAGAGACTCGGAAGTTCCTGGGTTCGAATCTGGTGAACACCAAAAAATTTTATATGTCAAATTGTTCTGACTAAATTTATTATAAGAATATCGATAACAAATCGAATTTGCAGTAGGTTGATTCACTGTAACTATGATTTAAATATTCTCATTGACATTGACAAGTTATGTGATCTGCCTATAGTTTTTTTATTCTGGTTGCTATCCTAAACTAGTGCCCACCAATGAAAATTCCTATAAGTTAGGATTGTCAAAATGTATGTATTATAATTTGCAGCAAACCTATTCTCAAATCAAACCTTATTTTTATGTGTTGGGAATTCATAAAACGTAGATACTTTGTACATAGTAGGTCTTCAACAAATTACTGAAATAAATTTATGGAATGCATAAACGACGAGCTATTTTGTTGTTTATTTTCCTGTTCAAATAAATAAAACATTATTACGATCCATTTAAGTACTAATTTGTTGAAGATTGTATTCTAGGAAGGATATTGCTATGGGGTAATTATTACTGTTCTAGAATGTTATTAGAAGAAAATAATTAATTCTCGTACACATATTTCAACTATTTCATTCAAGGTCTAAGAAAAGTCGTAACTCTTAATCTAAACTACCGACTGGACTTGACCAACTGCACCTAGGTAGGCACAAATTGCTAGTTAAATATCACGTCTTTGCTCGCGTGATTTAAGTATCTGACATCTGTGCCATTTGTCGTCTTTGCTAGATATTTAGTAAAAGATACAGACATCTTTTTAAAGCGACATAAAAAATGTTACTCAAATCAACCTACTTACGTAGATATACAATAATATCTTAGAACAATTCATACAGCACCATCTAGTTCCAAGCTAAGCAGAGCTTGTTATGTGTTACTAGAACACTGATATAAATACGTGAATATATTTTTTAAAAATACTTACATAGAAAACACCAACACATACAAATGTTTATACCGTGCAAATAATCGAACCCGCGATCGTTGGAAGTAAGGTGGTGTGCTACACCACTAGAACACCTAGACCGGCGATATGTGTATATCTCTCTTTTTAAGCGGTATTTTACATTAGTATCAGACTAATGACTATTAGTCTGATACTAATATCAAAGTAGGCTTTGCTTCGTTTACATGGGTACCTTAGTCCTATTTTAGCCAACAATCAGCTTGCTTTGTGAGCTGTGTTTGAACTGTGTTGAAACCACAGATAACATAATATTACATAGTTGAAACAAAATTATAGAATAAGTGGCATGACTTACTTACTCCTCCAAAATGGCAACGCATGACTGTTATCACGGACGTCACATAATAACGTTATGTCCATGATGTTTGCAGTGTTTGTTTATATAAGAAACAGATACCACTTGCCACCAGCTTGATTGCCATTCTAATTACATAACAAAAAAACATTAGGATTGATCGAGATTTTTGTGGAACAATATCTCAGATTGCACTGTGATAATTGTTCTTTTTTAAACAGCTGAAGAACTATCCATAGTCCTAGCCAACCGGTCGGCTGCATTGAATCACCTACTGCAGTATGAAGACGCTCTGGCAGATATCCAACGGTGTTTATCATTGGGATACCCCCGGCATCTGCAGTATAAGGTCTATGAGAGAAAAGCAAGGAGTTTACTCGTACTGAAAAGGAATCAGGAGGCGATAACTGCTTTCCAGTATGTACATATGTTTCGACAACACAATTAATAGTATTGCTATTATAATTAATATTATTTCCCTAGAAAATTAAATTATGATTCTTACTTACTCCTATTTGCATGTCACCTATATTTAATTACACGTGCTATCTTAGGATTGTCTTGAAAAAAATTGCTTTCAGCAATAACGCCGCCTGGTTGTATTTATAGAATATTTTTAAAATATATAAACTCTATATATATATGTGTGTATATATTATTTACTAATCCATGTACTTATTTTCTATCATTTTAAATAAGCAAATAAAGTATATTCTATCTGTCTAGCATTATCAAATAAAACTAACGTACACATCCGCAAATACATTTGTCTGAAAAATTGCTTGTTGAAAGCTATTAGGAAACTATTTATTTGGCACACCACGATAACAGTATATTTATGTTTCTTTATTACTATTGTTATTCTTTCGTTGTAGTTAAACTATCTACTTATATCAATGGAGTTTTCTTCTTAGATAGAAAATAATAACAGTAATGTACAGTTCACCAAGATCACTAGTTAACAAAGAAATTTTAACAAATTTTATGTTACAACGTCCTCCAATCGACGTTCTAAAATACGTGCTTTCCTTTTTTAGGAATACCATTAGCGCTCTAGACGCAGCAAATAAGTTAGATAAAGAGAAAAGACAGAAAATTGCCACAGATGCCAAACTTATGCTGGAAATATTACATAAGGGTTTAGTGTTAGCGGGAAATCCAAAGGATCCAGAACCTTTGAACAAATTGGCCCCCAAACCCAAGTTGCCAGGAAAGCATAACGTGAAATATCCCGCAACATCGGATGCAATTGAAATAACAAAGAGTGATGTTAAAGGAAGATTTGCGATAGCCTCAAGAGATATTGAAGCTGGAGAAACTCTATTAGTCGAGAGCCCCTATGGTAGTGCTTTGTTAAATGAATATTCCAGGAGCCATTGTCAGAATTGCTGTATTAAGTACGTCAATTTTAATTTTCTGTTTTATTTACAATTTAGATAGTTGAAATGTGTCTTAAGAGCGTCGTGACCTATTTATTTATAACTTTGTGTTAGACTTCAAAGGTACTGATTTTGAATCTTTCCATCGTAAAAAATCTGATCATATTTCTGACGATGATGGAACCAAGATGGAATATGAATGACCCTACGTTACCTACCATGAATGACGTGTTCAAATATACTCAGCGAAATGTAGGCATGTCAAATGTTGCGTTCACCACGACATCGACAGTTGACATGCCTCTGACTAGTCCATCGGGGCCAACAGTCGTGAAGGTGTATTATAGTAGTTTCTTTCTTAATTGTAGATGCCCAATACCGGTACCGTGCCCTAAATGTCCAAACGTGATATTCTGCAGCGACAATTGTTTGGAAATCGCTCAAAACTCATACCACCGTTATGAATGCCAAATCCTTCCACTGATTTGGAAATCTGGATGTTCAATCACCTGCCACATAGCGCTTCGAATGATCACGCAAAATGGAAAGGAATATTTTAGCAATATCAGTAAAGATCTCGAAACTGCAATAACCGGTCCATATAAGACTGAAGACTATAAAAATGCATATAACTTAGTATCTCATGAAGATATACGATCTAAACAGGATTTGTTGCACAGAACCCAAATGACGATTTTCTTAATTAAACTATTAGAAATTAGCGGATACTTAGAGGGAAAGCCAAAGGATACAGTGGATCTAAGTGATATAAAATCAATGTCAGTTGATGAGAAATACAACGGCGACGTCGGCCTTTTCGGAGCACTTATATTAAAAAATCTACAAGTTTTACAATTTAACGCTCACGAGGTGTTTGAGGTACAATGTCCGAAACCGGAAGTTGGAAAAAATATTATAAAGCACACAGGAACTTCCGTTTTCTTAGCTGGCGCTTTATTTCCAACTCTTGCTCTTTTTAATCACTCATGTGATCCTAGTGTAGCCAGGTAAGGTTGAACATTTACTTTTTTTCTTAATTTCTTAGTTCTCTGAAATAGCAACGCATGAGTGGTATCAGGAGTGAAATGATAACGTGATATCAAAATAGTGTTGTACAAAAAATATTACTAGTGCTTTTAAAATTTGAGACCTTAAGAACAGCGAAACATAACTATCTTGTAACATACAATAAATTATTGTCGAAATTAAGATTTATTTTATTTGCCACAATCTGACTTTCTGTTTCAGATATTTTTGTGGTTCCAAAATCGTTGTACGGGCTGTTAAGAATATAAAGAAAGGCGAAGAAGTATCGGAAAATTATGGACCTATATTCACGACGGTACCAAAAGAGACAAGACAGGCAAACCTGAAAAACCAATACTGGTTCGATTGCCACTGCATACCCTGTCAACAAAATTGGCCGACTTATCAGGATATGACTGAAGATTATATACGGTTCAAGTGAGTTCTATAGTTAAAATAATTAATATATAGTTTAAAATATTCAAAATAGGATACAGTCTTAAGATAGATGTCTTCCCTATCTTCATTAATTTGAGTTAATCACAAATCGACAGATCGACATAGTATTGATATAAAAACACAAAATGATCATAAGCTCAGTGTGGAAGATTGTTCATGAAACAAAACACTGATTTTCAGATTCAACCGATTTGAGGGTATGTAGGAGTAGGGCTACACATAGACAGTATTTAATGTTGATTTATTTTTCGAATGTATCATCATATTCATTGTTCCATATTGATGTTTTGTCTGTAAGGTAGTAGTAGACATGGTGCCCTACGTATTCTAAATATTTGCAGGTGCGATTCTGATAAACCATGCACCAACGTAGTACCAGTGCCATATGATTGTAAAGAGTTTATGGTGCAATGCGGTCTCTGTCAACAGTATACTAATGTATTAAAGGGACTAAAGTCACTTCAGGTAAGTAAACAATTATATTTCCTTTGAAGAATGACCAAAATTGTTACTAATGCAATATAATGACGAACATCATGATGTGTACTGTTGTATAATATTAGTAAAAATCAAGAAATAAAATGGCGGGAACTCAATAACAAAAAGGTGGTAAGGTCCCGTGTTTTACTAATTATCATGGTGTAGCGGTCTATCACACTCTCCTATGATAACACCACCTTACCTGCCCTCCTGAATAAACCGCGTAGAGTTTCAAAAATGCAAACATGATTAAAGTCCAATTAAACAAAAAATTTATTAGCTAAATTCAGCCTTACATTTTATTACTTAATTATTTCAACAACTATTTATTATTTGCACTCCAAGTTCCTTATATAGAGTAACCAAAGACTTACGTTGAAATCCAGGAATTGTCAGTAATCAATATTGGTCCCATTATAGGGTATATCATTATTATTATCAGGCTGTACCTTCCAGGCCATCCTTCTGGAAACCATGCTATTTAATTCTTGATGAAGTCAACAGAATAGAGTAACCGACTTAATTTCATAATCCTTTTATAATTCACTGGTGCCGTGCATAATAACATTATCAACAAAAAATTCAAGTGCCAAGTGCTTCTAATGCAATTCACAACTACTGCCTTGTTCAAAACTTCTCAGCAGAAAATTGGTTACATGTAATTTTACATTTTCATTAAAACATTACAGTGCATCTATATATATATCTAATACATATAGACACCGTAAACAATCGTATAACAAAATAGACTGTCGTTCTTGAACAGATCATCAATATAGTCGTCCGTCTCTGGATCCCAAATGCATCGTTGTCCGCACTTAATTCCTGCCCCTTTCATTTCTATTATCGTCGACTGAACTAATATTTTGTACCTGAACAAAAGAGACCATTACTAACCCACATCAGGATTTTATTGATAATTTAGTCATGCCTAATATAACTTTAGTTTTGAAATATAATGTTATAAGTATATATAACAAACACAAGTAAGTACAAGTACCTAAAGTATGTGTAATGCGGCTCTTAAAAACGTACTGTAATATTTAAAGTTGTAGTTAATATATTTTTTCTACATTGTTTTTCTATTGTGACTTTTATATATAGTATAAGAATAGCAAAATTGGTTAAGTGGTTCTTAAGTTATGACATGATCAAGAGCAATAGGGAATTATTTTATATATAGAATATCATATATTTACCTCTTCATATCAAGTTCTTGTACACGCTGTCTGACAGCATTGGCTATTACTTTAGCCCATCGTGGAGCTTGGTCAGCGCGATACTGCCGCCCTGTCAGTTGTTCTTGCATCGTCGACAATATGATGTCGCGTATATTTTGGGCCTGAAATCTGAAATTAATATAAAACAATACAATTTGCTACTTAAAACTTGCAATTTTTAATTAGCAATAACTATAGGATTTATATAACAATTTGAAAGTTTATAACTAATTAAAAATAAAGTCAACATAGTCAAAACACCACCTTAACATCGCGTTTACATCAAAGTATAATATATATCGTAAAAACGTAAAGAAAGTCAATGACTGAATTCAAGAGATAGTATAGCGGAATCTAATTTTATGTATGTTGATAGAAAAATTAAGAATTAATGAATGTCTGTGAAAGTACTGTGACTAAAGTACAGTGGTTACAACATAACCATCAATATAAAAATCTAGATTGACATTGTATAATTCAAAAATTACGAATACTCAGAGAAATAGTACACCCATCTATGTAAATAGTAGTATGTCAGGCATAGCTTCTCATACCTACTATGTTTGTAGATACACATTTACGTATTCAACTCTTTGTCTCCATATTCTTTCTACTCTTTGTATATGTATCTATTTTTACTGTTACTTACTTCTCTCCAAGACTAGGTCGTACTTCATACTTTGGTGGAGCTAACGGTTTCACTGCCTCTATTGGACTGATACCAAGTTCACTGTCACCAGTACCACCAACTGTTTCTGGCTCCTCCTCTACAACTGCAATATACAATTAAATTATACTAAATTGGAAGTGGGTGATCTCCAACTTCAAAAAGGAGATCAGGGCTGTGGATATTATTATTATTACAAACCTATAATTTTATGGGTCCCATAAAATTTCTGTTTTAAAAAAGGAAGTTCTATTTTGTTATAAGGAAAGTGCACACCACATTAATATGAGATATTCTTTCAATATTTAAATATTTTTCACATGACAAAAAAAGGGTCTTAGACAAACAGAGTGATTGAAGTGTATAAAACATATACATACCATCTTCATCATCTGCCATAACTGTTGAGCATCTAAGGGTCTGTTACCTGTAAATGTAAATAAGTCTTTCTATATATATTCTATCTTTCTCTGCTAAAGAGACTGAAATAACAACAAGCATTTAATTTAATAAATTGTATTGCATTTTGTATTTGTTGTCGTAAAAGCAATTTAATATATAATTGTTTGAAATTGATATGTTTAATAAAAAAAAACTGTAATTCTCATTAGGACTGTAAATGTGAAAGTGATTTGAATTTGAAACGTGAATTTGTTATGTTAGTAAAAAAATATTTTCTATAAAGAACATAGCCATGGAATTATCAAATTGGAACTTTTTACATAAGTTAGGTTCATGTTTTTAGACAATAATTTAAACTGACTCCATCATCTTTTACAATATTCAATAACATATGCCTGGAACTTTTATATGGAAGCTGAATGTGATTGTGATGAATATCCTATGTATCTCTCCATCTTGGGATAAAATTCTACTTACTTGTCATAGTACATGATGATTGGTCAGAAATCCTAAAAAAACAGACATACTATCATATATTATTTAGGATATTAATATAAATCTTGTATTACAGGACACGGACATGATGTACCGTATTGGTCGTAATGCAATGGATGAAGGCAAATACGGCGATGCAATGAAGAAGTTTATTGAAGTTCTAAAATTGTATGATACAACATTAGCACCACCATACAAGTCATACTATGACTGTGTACAGGATCTGAGACATTGCATCTTAGCCATGGGAAATTATAGTATAGTTTAATTAAATTTGTCTTGTTATTATAAAATGTTTTAAGGCTGTAATCGTTGATTTACTTTATTTTCATATATTAAGGGTTCCAAAGAGGGGAGAGCCCTCCTCATCACCTGATGATATTACTCAACTAATAAAGTAAATAGGAGTGGTGAACATTTTTAAATATTGTTGTTGTCTTCGTTGAGAGTGAATATAATTATAACATTATTGTGTTTGAGTACATTTAAAAAGTTTACATTAATTTAATTTTTTATATTATTACACCGAAATAAATGTATAAAGTACTCAAGTTTGTTTTGTATCATCTACCAGACTAGTCTTTGGCTTACCTTTCCGTATCTGATACCAATCCTCGTTTTATACACAATGAATACAGCTCTTTTTTATACATACAATGCTTTATGTTCAACAATTACGAACTCAGGGTTTGTGTTGATATTAGTGTTTATTCTTTTACTGTCACGAAGTCAAAATTAATTTTTATTTTGATCTTCCTGACCATAAAAGATATAATAAAATTTTGTATATATTTTTATATAAATACAAATATAGAGACAACAACAACATTGACAACAGAATAAACAAACAAAGTACTCTGCGTTCGTTTGAGATTTTACTCAAGCAATGACAATAAAATATACGTCGATTGAAGCAGTGTTGCCAATTTTAGTGATTTATTGCTTATTAGACTATTGTAGACGTTGATTCATAAATATGTTTTACTGAGTACCGTGATGGAAACAAACCACCGATTGCAAACAATCAAAAGTGGCAATTCCTAGAACAAATCAACGAATGACAAAACGCCTACTAAATCTGGACAGGCATAACATAAAAATAATGATAGGGACAATGACGGGCCACCGTCCCTTAAACAAACATTTGTACACAATAGGTGCTACAGACAGTCCCCTATGCCGGGGCTGCTTTGTAGCCGAGGAAACGGCCGCTCACGTAATCCTGGAGTGCGAAGCAGTGACCATACAACGAAATCAAATCCTCGGAACGGTGAGGTCGCTCCGAGAAGCCTGCGAAGACACCAGGAGACTTCTGCGCTTCTGGGAGGAGCTTGGCTGGCTACGTTAGTAGCCTGGCTCTACACGCACAACGGCCCGAATGAGAGGCCAATTGCGGAAAATGGAGTCCAATCTACACCTACACCTACACACCTGAATACCGTGACTAACTAAAATAAATTATAAAACTCAGTATGAGGCTTGCATAAATACATTAAAATACGATGATTTATTCTATTCATCTCTAATCAAAATAAGCGAAAAAAGTAGGCTTTGGGTTTCCAAATATATTTTCACCCTTATTTTGATTGCAAAGGATAATTAATTTGTCTTCAATATTTTTACGAAACCTATTGCACAATAGGTTTCGTAGAAACATTGATTTACTTTTTATTGTCAGCTAAATTCTAAAAGTGTATTTAATTCTTATAGAGTGATTATTTGAGTTCTCATACAGACTAACTTTTTAGTATTATCACAGATAACATAATATTACATAGTATTATGATGAACTAACTAACCTTAGTTAGGAGGTATTTTTGGCAACTCTTTCAAACTTTAGCTATTTTGACCGTGGAATATCTGGCTACACTGAAAAATTCTGTGCTGACATTTTATTCTCTATGGAATAGGAACCGCTTAATCTGTGCTCATGTCATGTTTGTTTGTGAAGCCGACTTGTAATATTTTATATAGTTGTGAATTGTAATAACAGTAAATATATATTATCTCTATTGAAACGACAAATTTACAAATGGCCACATATGATAACAAAATTTGGCTCCTTAAAAATATACGAGATGCCTTCATAGCCACAGACGATACGGGTTTATGCGAAATAGTAATGGCTGGTGAAGATTTCTCTAAGATATTCCAAAACAAGGCTTTAGAAGACAGAAAAAGATTAAAAGAAGGCAAATATAATCAAATAAATGTTAATAGAGGTAAGAAAATAACTGTAAATATTATCAACTGTTAATAAAAATTCTAATACTAAATTAATTAACAACTTTAACACTGATGTTTTGAAGTAGTGATAGTACAATAGAGATCTATTAATCAACTTATCTATTCACTCTCATCACTCATATAGTCATATATTTTATTTTCTTTCTAATTATTACAATTAATATAGTTCTCCATAACTGTTAACTTTGTTACCATAATAAACTAAATAAAATCCATGTGACTTAAAATTTAATCATTTATTTGCAAAGAAGGTATGGGAGATATATCAGAAGATGATGATGATAGGGAAATTGTAACCCAGTATGACCCATACCCTGACATGGAGGACAGTGAGGATGATGACCCGATGTGTGGCAGCTACATTCGTGATGACTTTGGTGGGCACAGGTATATTAGTTATTACTACTGGTGACCATTTCACGATTGTCACCATAGAATAATTATGATTTTTCTATGGTGACAATTTTATTTTAATGTTTACTTATTATTACAAATAATAAATATATTGTTTGGTAATTAATTCTCTTAACTTAGATTCCTTATAAATCTTAAAGAATATATTTTGACAGTCTTTTATATAAGAGTTAATAGAAAAGATAATTTATGATGTTTACATAAATAATAATATCACTAAAATAACACAATACTAGATGAACAGCTGACCTAAATGTCTTATTTACACCCATAAACCAAGCTACAGATTTTTTTTTAAGAAGCATTGTGCTTATTTGCACAGGAATAAAAATGTTTTTTGTGCTGACATCGGGTTGTTAAGATTAAAACTTTTAAAACAATATTTTTATTCCTGCACTAGTTATCTTTTTCTACATTTATCTTTACTAATATAGGTTAAACAATGATTATTAATAAAATGGACTATTTTTGTCTGAAAACAATTTAATATTATATATAATGGTATGTCATTGTATTATGTGTAAAATTCTCCATTTTCAGACAAAGATCTAACACAGCCCAAAGGCTGGACAAGAAGGAACAAGCTTTAAAAAAGGCAGCTAAAATTAAAGTTATAAAATGGGAAAATCCAGCACCACTCACATCTGAACAAATAGCAGATATATTTGCTAAAGTTGAAGTAGAAAAGGTAGAAAAACAAAAATCTTTATTGGCGGAACAGCTTGAAAACTGTCCAGACTTACCTCATCGACAATATCTGGAGTATGCAAAGTTTGATGGCACTGCACAACTAGGACTGCCGACAAAGTTATTCAAGATATTCATGACAATACTGCCTGAAAAGCATCCAAGTTACCCGCTAGTTGTCTGTGTCATTGCTAATGCAAAGATTAAAGATCTTATTGGTTTCACATGCTATAAATACAGGTATTATGCTATAAATATTAAAATTATGAAACACTTATACTGAATGACAAACCAGTTAATATTGAGGCTAGTAATAGTGGCGCATATATATTTTGCAACATAAAGAACTGTTCAATGATTCATTCTGTATGCAAGCCTTTTTAGCCCACAAGCCAAGAGTGGGTCTAGTTGACCAATTTACTCCCAGTCCAAATCTTCTAAGATGGTTATGTTAAGAAGTTAAGTGACTACCTCTCACGACCAACATTCCCATACCTCCATCACCATCACTCTCATACCATCATCATCCATAATCCATCCAAACCACCAACGTCTTTATTTTGCTTTTCGTTTTGTTATTTTGTTTAATCTTTTGTTAATTGTTTTGTTTTATCTCTATTGTTGTTTTGTTTTGTTTTGTTCTTTTATTTCTGTTTTATATTGTTTTGATTGTCTTCGTATTTTTTTACTTTTGTTTGTTTTTGTTATTTCGTTAATTTTGTCTTATGTTTTCTTATATAGACAATTGTATATATTTATAAAAATGTATATATTTCAATAATTATATTCTAATTACAACTCTATTAAAATCATAACTTGCTAAATCATAATAAACTCTGCTGAAGCGAGCGTAAACCACAGGCGCAAACGCTAAAGCATTGAGTAAAACAGATTCTCAATTTTTTAAAAAATAAAAAAAAAGACTACCTCTCACGTAATGTGGACTGATGACCCCATTACTAACAATGTACCATGTCAGGTTGACCTCCACGCGGTTCCCCCTGGAAACCATCGTGATAAATTCCTGGTGAATTTGTTACGATGGGCTAACTGACCTGACCTCATGCTCATATTATCATCCCCCACTGGTGCCCCGCGAGCGTAAACCGTTAACGCAGGCGGGTGCACCATTCCATTATCATCAGTTAAAAAAAAAAGACTACCTCTCACGGGGGGAAGGGTATTGTTAGTAATGTAGACTAATGATCCCATTGCTAGCAATGTACCATGTCAGATCGACCTCCACGTGGTTCCCCCTGGAAACCATCGTGATAAATTCTTGGTGAATTGGTCACGATGGGCTAACTGATCTGACTTCATGTTCATACTATCATCCTCCACTGGTGCCCCGCCAGCGAAAACCGTTAGCACAGGCGGGTGCACCATTCCATTATCATCCATAAAAAAAAAAACTACCTCTCACGCCAAAATTGATCAGTGTTAGTTTATACAAAATAACATATATTTTGTGTAAACAAAATTGTCAGTGAGCTGTAATGTGGCGAGATACCCATCAGTTTAAGTATTTAATTATAATAGTGACATTTTAGCCTTTAATAATATTATACCTAATACAACATAAGTTTAAAGTTTATCTCAGTTCTTCTTCAGAAAATTGATCCGACCAGATAATTAGTTCAATCAGTTTATTTTTGCATTTAATGGCCTTCAATAGAATGCTGATTTCTATTTCTGTATTTGCAGATAATGCAAAGGATATTGTTAGTAATGGGCCTTCTTCTTTTAATATAATATTTAGCACACAGGTCATTTAGTACTAAAAAAATATTTTTAGTACCTAATGGCTATTTGCCAGTAGCTAGCAGATATTTTATGAGTAAAAAGCATAATTAGCATTAACATTGCTAACCACATCATTGTTCCACAGCATTGAACATCCTGAAGTAACATTGGGATCTGTGCAAAATTATGGACTTTGCATAGCAGAGGAAGATGGGGAAGTTGATATTGGTTTTCCTTGTCTTGATGCCAATGAACCCTGCTCTAAATTTGGTTTCACGTGTCTTGGTCTTGTAGATTTACATAACAAAAATGTACTCGCTCATGGGCCTATACATTCAATACCAGATGATGGAACATTGTATAAAGGATTGGATATATTTCCAAAAGCTTCGGACTCTGGTCATAGTCATCACACACAGTCCAGACTCAATACAGGAGATAGTACAACATCAGAAACAGTGAAAAGTGCTATAAAAGCAGTGTCAAATGGTAAGTTTAAACATTAATTTTATATTCAATATACTTTATACAAATTCTAAGATATAGTTAGAATTTGTAAAAAGTAGTCTAATTCTCGCCTATTTTAACCGCCAAGCAGGTTGCCTTGTAAGATGTGTGAAGGGTGGGATAAGGCAGTGAACTTCCAGGATAAGAGGCATGAAATCTTAGTCCTCGAGAATGGCAATGTATGAATAAATTATAACAAGATGTCTGTATTTCTGTTCATGTATATAGCCGACGGTTTTTATTTGACTATATAACAATATTCAAAATGATAAAGATGGTAGTGTCTTCTTTACACAATAGTATTAGAGACTGTTATTACAATATAAGGAAAAACAGATTGCAATATAAGGAAAAACAGACAGCATTGCTGATTTTAAATTTGACGTTTATTATTTACACATTTTTTTTTTCAGAAAAACGAGCGGGTGAATCCGATCTAGATAAACTACATTCGCACATGACAGAGCCACCTCAGTACAAAATGTACAGAGTTAACTTGTTACGCAAAGTGCGTACAAATATACCTGTACAGCTTGTCATATCAATTGATAAAATTGAAGTGGAACCTCTTATTCCCCACAAGCATGCATTTTGGGTAATTTTTTTTATATCTAACAGAACATTTGTCTACATGCCAAAAAATGTATCAGTGTCATAACACGTAACATAACATAACAAGTAGAGTAGATTAAACACACTTCACAAAGATGAATAAATTCCAGTCAACTGTAAATCTGATTTTGATTACTTGTAACAGTTGTTTGTTTCTCTTTTACAGTCAAAATCTAAATACTTCCTGCACAGTATAGACTCAATAGCTTGGTGCCAGATATTGGAAGCGAAGGCCACTAAAACTACATTCAGGGTTGTGTACTCACCTATTCACAATACAAATTATCATGATCATAACAATTCAGGTATGAATTAAATACTGTTTTCTATTTGAAATCTATTTCTTTGATTGAATACGATGAAAATTTGAGAATTATATTAATACTCCCTATTCCCATTAGTAATAATTCCCTTCTCCCAAAAGAAGCTATGACTGGAGCAGGAAAATGACAACTATTTATTGAACTACTGTAATAATTGTAAAAGTGTGTATAATTCCCAAGAGCGCTCAACATAGAACTAGTCAAAAGTGACATATCAAAAATAGAGATATCAAAATAATACAATATTTATAAAAAGAATGGTTTACAAGCTGCCACCAACAGATTGCCACATTTGGCAATCAATTGGACAGTGTTGGTTTGTTCGCAGCGCGCTGTATGATTGTTTGTAGTATCCGGCAATATAGACAAAATATCATCTTATGAAAATATATTGCATATATTTAACAAGTACCATTGCAACACTTTCAGGTGTCAGCTATATCCATTCCAGCACAACATACAAATATCACGATTTCGAGTGTGAACATGATACAGCCAAAGAGATTGTTGACAAAATAAATATAATTCTAGACCGTAGAAATAGCCCATGTCGTAGAGACTACAAAATAGCAAAAGAGAAGAAGCTGCAAACACGAAGGAGTTTTCACACCAAACACATAAGTTGAGTACCAATATAAATAGTGTTGTACACTGACCAAAGTTCCTGTAACACAATCAAAGACTGTACTAGGGTACAAATAGAGTAGAATATTAAATGCTCAATTATACACAAACTCTGTAGATATTTTGTGTAAGCCTTTTTGAATCGCCAGATCTGCCATTCCTTCAGAATGGAGATTTAGAAAACTATATTAATCTAAATAGAAAACTCAATAGGTATGCCTTTATACCTATAGGTGAGGTTTACAATTGTTATGATTAGTTTTAAGACTGACTCATGGTAAATGTTGTTGATTTGTCTGTTTGTACCCTGGTTTCAGTAGCTGAAACTATAATCACAATACAAGTAATCACTGCCTAATTTCAATAAATATCTGTCTAAAAGTGAATCTGTCCATATATACATTCTTCATAAACATATACTGTATGAAAACTGTTAAATTTTATCACCTTTGGAATATAAGAGTAGATTACAATATAGGAGAATATTTCAGGGCAAATTTATATTCCCTGTACGACAAATATTGAATTGTTTATTCTGAATTTGAAACTGAAACATAAACAACACTTTTATATACAAATATTGTAATATTTAATTATTTGTACATTTTTATTACCTTGTTGTATTCTCGACTTAATGGAGATATTGTATAATTGTGTAAATGAATAATGTGTATGTCTAAGATGAAATATATTTAATTCGTAATACCTATGTGAATTGAATTTTATTATTATGGTTTTATAGGGATGGGAATATGTATTGTCATGGAATCTATAAACAACAGAATAGCCAAATAAAAATGCTCTGAATTGTTTATTGCAATAAACAATTTGTTATCGTTGTATAAATCTTTTAGCAAAAACTGTGATGTATTCTCAACCTTATACCTTATCTTGTATATAAATATATATAATGTGAATTTTGTGCTTGTCTAATATAATTTATTTTAACTGTAATAAATTATTTCAATTGAATTCTGAATAATACTACTTGTCTACTCCATATTTACGTTTGCAATATCATTTTTGTATAATATTAAGAAGAAATTTTATACCAAGCAAAATGTATGTATATTTCAATCAAAGCTTTAACAAGTATGATATTGATGAGAACACCAATTGTGACATTTCCATATATAAAAAATAAGTTTTATATACAATTCAAAACAATTAAAATCGATAATATAAAATGTTTTTTGATGTAAACACGGAGACAAAAAATCTATTTACTGCATCATTCAATGAAAGTGAAGTCATTGTTTCCACATTTCTTTTACTTTGTATTATTATTGTTATAACATTTTCTATTCCAGGAAACATAAAATCTTTACAATTGTAATATTCATTATAAACAGACACAACCATATTAAACGTAAAGCATTGGCAGTATATATTGAAAAAGGCTGAACATTGTTTAAGATGCAAATTTGTGTGTGTGTGTATTTATTTGGTTGAGCATGGGTTTACACCTTCACTTTTGTTGTCTTATAATTTTTTGCAACTCTGATACCAGTAAGAATTAATTGTACTCATGTAAGACAGACTGATGTGTATTATCAGATTGCCCCAGCAGTTTATAACCATCCTACATGAAATGATTTTTTTTAACATTTAGATTTACTACTTAATAATAAATAATAATTGTCTATAAATTATAACCACAATGAATTTTAAATGTTACTTAATGAAATTATTTACTTACAATTGTATGAATGAATTTTTAATTAATATTAAATAAATTGTTGTTATTTCTTGATTTACTTTGGCCATTATTTTACTATCATGTTTTAAATTTTATATAACTCAATCGTTATGAATACGTCGATAATTTAGCGGCTTAACAGATTGCCCTGCTTCTGGTGGCCGTGAATTCGATTTCTTGCACAATACAAATATCTATATTCATTAGTGTTTATTTGTATTGGTCTGGGTGTTTACTATGTATATTATGCATGCAAATGCATACAATGGTTTTGAAGTATTTCTACCACCTGTTTAGCCTTAACAGACACAAGTTTCGAGGTTCAGGATTAGATAGATTAATAGATGGTGTGATTTGTCCTGGCTTATTATTTTAATACAGTAATCTATGTGATTACTGTATTAAAATAATAAGCCAAGACTAGCCAGTTACTAAAGAAATATGTAATATCAATAATGCATAACCATTTTGGAGAATGAAATTGTCATGGGTAGTTACAAATTGATTAGATAATGCTGCTGTTAGTATTTTTATTGTAAAATTATATACATTATTAATACAAGAATTCATGAATTGTATGTACAAAGTACGTACACAAAATGTTTAATTGTAATATTTATTTACAAGAAATTACACTGGTCTTAACAATATGTTATATAAAATATTGAATATAATTACATATATTCCTATATTAGAGCCATTTCCTAAAATAATATTCCCCATTATTTCCTATATTACATATTTTGTATTACTTAGTAATTGTGGCTGTAAAGTAATATGCCTATTCTTAGGCTGAATAATTGTGATGTAAAAAATTAAATTAAATACAAGATTCATAATAGGAATTATGAACTGTTATCCAATTATAAATTGAAGTACAAATTTATAACTTCACTTCAAGGTTGACACTCCTTGTTACTTTGCAAAACAAAATATATATAATTTGTAAATGTAAGTCTATGATCTATGACATTATTTTCCATACAATCATTTAAAATAAATAAATAAAAGGCCTTGGATGTGAGGTGAAAATGGTCCTTACCCTATTATTATTTACAAAATTAATGACAATACCATTAATTATAATAATTATGCTATCAAGACAAGGTACCAAACAAAAAAGTGTGCAGTACTAATCAAGAATGACACAATTATGAATCTGATTAAATTATGGCACAGCAATATTGGTATGAGTAAATTTACATAGGATCAACACTACTGTTCTCTAAAATAAATTGGGTGATTTTATTAACTTTTTCTTCACTGTAGCTTAATAATACATCATCAAGTTCGTTAACCCTTTTAAATAATGCCCTTGTTTCTTTCACAGACTTATGAAGTTTTTGTTGACATTCAATTAGATGAGCAGTGTTCGGTTTTGCATTTAAAAACTCAATATCTTCATTTGATAATGCGGCATAGGACAGTCTTGATCTGCTTGATGATGTTTGTGCCATTTTATATTGACTGAAATAAATACAGAAATATTATTTACATATTATTTAATTAAATATTAAACATACAATAATATAAATACAAAAGACTACTCAGCCTACAGACTAGTCTTACTTAAACTCCTGAACAAATTTGGTTGAATTTTAGTAAACTGATACATTAGACTTTGGTAAAGGACAGACATTACTTTTTATAAGAATAATAATTGGAGCGGTTAAATATATCAATCTAAAGAATAGACAATTTGAAGTATTCATTCTATGCATACATAGACAAGTGCATCATCTACCTATTTTAAGTATCATTGTTAATATTAATATGACTTACTGCTTCAGATCATGGTATTTATTCTGTCTGCTGGTAACTTCTTTTTTCCACTGCTCCTTCTCTGATAAAAGTTTGTTATAATACCTGAAAACAAATTAAGAATTTACAGTTAAATTTTACTCAGTAAGTAATAAGATTATTGTTGTATTTTTGGTTCTTAATGTATAAATAAATATTTAAAGTTTCATCTTTCAATTCAATGTTTCACTTGTTTATTTTGAATTAAAATAGCCACATAATAGGATATAATTTCCATGCAGGTTGTTTTAGTGCTTACTGGGTAGACTTAATTTTGGAATATTGTTGATAAAGTAAAAATAAGCAAGATAATGGATATAAATAGTTAATTGAACAAATCTAAGTCTAACAGTTTATACCTAATGCTGACACATTTAATTAATGTTTTTGTTAAAGAACAAATTATATATGTTTACCTCGAGAGTTCGTCACTGTGTTTTTGATTATCAACTATATTCTGTTTACACACATTATCTATATTTTCTGTCAAGGGTTGCGGTGCTGAAAATAATTATAAATTAAATAATATCTAATAGACATTTAATAAAATATTCAATAAGGGAATAATAAATCTTTCAGGTACGTTGAACACACCTACAGAATCTCTTCTTTCGAAAAAAGTGGAACGCCTTCGACGAGGTGGTGATCGAAAGGATTGATGTGCTTCATTTTCATTATCAGAATTCTCCATTGTGGTATATTTCTTTCAAGGAATAGTTTTTAAATAATTTAAAATGCGTATTTCGTATTTTCAAACCAAGAAAACAAACGGACGCCTAAATGCAGTGTTGCCAAATGTTTTTCGTTTTTATTAAGGGCAACTCAATGTAAATAAAATTTCACACAAAAAAAATCACAAATGTATTACTAATATAAAAATTAGGAAAGCATGGAATTGCCAAACCAATATTTTGAATTTACTGTCTTGCTTGTCTTTGAATTTAACGATATAGAGGTATTAAGTATTTTAGAAGTTTATGGAAATAGGACTTTCTTTTTATTTAAGGTAGATGTTAATTTTGCGTATCCATATATATGGATATGCAGAATATTATTATGATGAATGATATTTATCACAAATAAAATGTTAATGAATTAATTTGTAACTCTATGGTTAACACTAAGCGAGCAGGTAATCACTAAGATAAAACCGAACGAACGGACTCGATTTGACATTTGACTTACTTTGACGTCTGTTTTAGTATACATAGATATTTCTTATCTGTGGTTTGTTTCCCCTGCTATCGGTCGGTGTATAATTTTTTGTCTGATTTTTTTTATCATATTAAATTTAATTTAGGAATTGCTTTTGTCGCATAAAATGTTTTGTTCTCGTAAGAGAACCTAAACTTCGATGGGTAAGATTAGCATCGTTTCGTGTTGTCTTTTTCTTACGAAATAATAAGTTATAAAAAATATCCCGATCGCTGTGTTTCTTAAAAATTATTATTGTGGTGTTTTTCAACAGCATACAGTAATGGAGTTCAATGATATTCATACAAATGAGGTATTAGACCCGGTAGATGTTAATTTTTATACACAACAATCTCGTAGTGCTAGTCCAACACCTGTTTTAACAACCAATGTGTGTTGTGATTTGGAAGACATTTTGAGCGACGTAAGTATTTTAACATATACTTTGAGATTTAATCTGATTTTAGGCACGTGAAGGAACACAGCCTAAGTATAAAAGCATGTGAATTGTTTTAATGATTGCTTATAGTTTAGCTTCATAACAATGTTTATTTTTCTAAATAGTTATGAGCAATAAACAAATTAATGTTTAAACATAAAAGTGTAATATGAAAGAACATATTATATTTTAAAGAAGTACCATTTAGGGTCTTTTGTTTTAAAGTATTATACAAAAATAGTGTAAGCATAGAAAAATATAGGTTTATAATATTACTTATTCCATAAATTATATATTACATTTTACAGTATAAACCTTAAAACAATACTCTATTATTCTGTACAAATTAATATTACCAATTGAATGTGATAATTGGAAAGAACTACTCAAAATTATGTATCATATCATAAAATAGATTTATTTGATATAGAGCATTATATTGATGAAGTTTTACTTGAATACATATTAATAATAATTATTATTATATAAATAATTAATATTTTTTTACTTAATGCTATTATTGACTTAAAACTTGTGAGTAAAATAATTACAAAATAATGGATATATTTTGTACACACATTGTCCTAATTTATGTAATTAATTTTTGTAGGCAATATCAGAATCTCTTCAGGGCTCTCTTCGAATAAGCCGCAGCCAGTTAATCAATCAAGAACTAACAATACGACCAGAGGCCAACATAGAGTCCAACGTACCGGAAGGCTTGGATCTCTATAAAGTTATTTTTGAAGTTGAGAGTGACTCGGAGACAAAAATGGGTGATGTGGATGAGGCTGCTGTCCAGCAGAACACATCTTCACAGATAAAGGAACCGGTCAGTATTATGTTGTGTTACAGATAGCCCATCATGCTTCTAAGTTTTTGTATAAATATTCCTTTATAAATATGAAATGATGCATAATGATATATATATATTACTTGGACTAATGGTATATGCTTGAGGTGTACTAGTAGATGATGATATGATGTTTCTGAAGTCATAAAATAAGAATAGACATCTGTTGTGCTCGCATCTGTTAATAGTAATAGCATAGGTAGATATCTAATTTACTTTTCATGGCAACATATAGGTATAAGAAATATAAAATAGTCTCTTTTGAAGTATTGTTCAAACATCCTTGTAACATGCAATGTGAGGCGTCATGGTCAGATTATAGAGTTGCATGTTTGTGATAAAAAAATAATATTATATATTTTTTAATTCAGCCATTTTACGAAATGGTTAATTATTTTATGATAAGATGAATTTTGCGATCTGTTCACGAGAAGATAAGTGATCGCATCACATAATGTATGCAATTTCGGCTCTATAATAGAGCTGTTCTGTTGAGAGAGCTGACCAACAAGCATGTTCCGGCCCTCAGACCGAGTGAATAGACAGTTTATATGCTACGGTCAATTAGAGCAGCGTTCCGCAAAGTATGGGCTGCACACTGGTATAGCTACTGTGTTAATTAGTTGGGGTATCACGATAATGAAGAAATGTAGTTATATCAAAGTTTTCCTTAAATTTAAATTACTTAGATAGGCATGCACATATCTCTCAATAAAATTTGCGTTTTCGCTTCTTGATTTAGTAGATTGTACCTTGAACATAAAAAAATTTCAATAATTTTTTATTGGGTTTGTACATTGGGTTAGAGTCTCAAAAACAATATGCCTTTATTACTGAAATGGCATATTCCTATTTATTCGTGTGACTAAACAAAGCTATCAATTGCCGCAGACAATGTTCACGATAGATTTGAGGATTTGAATTTGAATATATAAATATTAATCATCCAATATGTTTCGGTAATCATATTTATATGTTTCTGTTCAACGTTTCGACTTGTCACTCTAGGGTGAATTACTAAGAGTAATTGGTTTTGTTAGCGTTTTTTGAGTAGACTCGATGAATATTGACGACCTTTGGATCAGGGTTTTAACAAAATAGTAGGCAACGACGCTTCGTAAATGTTGGAATATTGCACATTCAATTTTCCAGTACACTGAATTAGTAATTGTATTGGTAATTATATTTTTACGCGGCTAACTAGATATTGTTATGTTCCACCAATTAGCGATACTGGAAAATGGAACTATTAAATGACCGAAATCAATTTACAACCTGTTAGCTAGCAATAAACTTGGCCTATAGCAGTAACATGCGTAATGTGTGACCATTACGATTTATTTGACCGTAAACCGCGAAAGTGGGGCACCAATTGCCGCGGCAAATTGGTTTAATACTACACCAGGATCATCTGTGTTAACATTGAGCGACGTAACCAATTATGAGACACATATTATTGTAACACGTTATATAAAACTCTATTTAACAAATGAAATAACATAAATACTTTTTAACCGATTACAAAATTAAATGATATTAGATACAAGATGGACTGATTTACGTAATTGCAAACTATTAATTTTTTCTATTTTAAATAACAGTATGACTGCAATATCTCAGGAATATCTACTTAATAATATAGGTATTATTAATTACTTGAACTACTTATTAGAAAATATTTTTATTACTTGCTTGCACGATAAAGTAATATAACTGTAAAAATAACCGTTGGTTATGTAATGCACTATTAGATAAATTATAGTAAGTAATAATGCTCAAAGGCTAATTAGTACCTTATAAATAGGCATTCACTGCGTCCATTTCACTGCATTATCTACAAAGTTCGACATGTGGTTCAACTATTACGAGAACACATATGTTATATAATCTATTGATTTCATTATTATTGATTTAGTTTCTTGCTGGTTGATTTATGACACTATTCAACTAGCCAGCGACCTAAAGCGCAGTCTACATATTAGAATCGTGCCTGAAATGTAACAGTTAATTTCATTAATATGAAATACCGAAAGGGATTAAAAAAATAACAAAAAAATGTATTAGTTGAGTTTCTTGTTAGGTCAGAACAATATAAAAATATTATGACTTACAAACGATGCCGACAGTATTCTATAAGATTAAAATGATTTTGATTTAGACTGATAAATTTTCTTACTATTTCTTTTCAATATTATTTTTAGCTTGCACTTCATATTTTCAGAAGACTGTGATTAACACTGGTAATACATTTTGACATACCTTTATATATATCTAGTATAGTGTCTGTTTGTAATATTGAAATAACCATTTTTTATTACATGCATATGAATATATATACGGTATATATACCAAAATAACATTTTTTATACTTTTTGTCTGTCTGTCTATTGGTCTGTTTGTTCCGGCTAATCTGTGAAATGGCTGGACCGATTTTGACGGTATTTTTATTGGCAGGTAGCGCATGTAATATGGAGTAACTTAGGCTACTTTTATTTTAGACAAATAAAGTTAAATTGCACGCGGACGAAGTCGCCAGTACAGCTAGTATATAATAAAATGGTATTACTGTTTGTTAATCATAACAAACAAAATAATGCTGTTTAGAGTTTTATCAATCATATCTATATATCGCTGAGTAATCGATAACCTTATTTTAACTATTTTATCTCCATTACTCAAAGATTGCTTTTAACAATATACTGTCGTGTTTCAGTGAAGTGTCTGTACTAAATATTTATGGCACAAGAAATGTATAACAAAGAATATATATTTGTTTATTTTTCACCTGTCGAGTAAAGTACATATTGACTATTTGGTTTTAATCGGAATCCACAATCATTGTAACTGATAATTGTCGGTTGTTTTGGTTAAGCCCATTGTGTATCCATTAGTCTTGTTGCCGCACCCGATCCGTCACTTTGCACGGGACTATGTCACTTGCGAGTACTGTGTTACAAATATACCGAGTTTCTTGTCTTTAGTTATAGTTACAGGACTATAATTTGGAAAAAAATACTTGTTTTCGAATGTAAGTGAACATTGAAATCAGTAAAATGAGTGATACAGTGAACTGATTGAAACTATTGATCATTTAATGTAACTACTACATTCGAAATGATGACTAAAGTGTATGGAAAGGTAAATAATGTTCACACCTTTATATGTATATCACATATTTATTATTATGTCGTAATATTATCGCCAGCTTATGGCATTTCCTCGAAATTAGTTATACTATTACGATATGTATAGGAACAGTTTCTATTATGTCACTGGAATGCGAAACAAGCTATGGATCTATCTGATGCTGAATGACAACAGCGGTACCCTTACTGAGGACTTTGTATAAAGTTTACCTTATTTATGGACTAAAATGAATTTCTAATTTCGACCTCAGTACTTTCACTCTCAACAATTTCCAGCGCAGATTAGCAGGTATAGGGTCTCTTAAGATTTTGTATCTCATTTAGGTAGGTACCGGTTTATTATATAGTACCTATAGGCCGGTTCGGTACCGGTATAGGTTTATGTATTAAATATTACACATTTATTATTATGTATGTACAACACAGTCATTCTTTATCATGAAACTGTAAGTACATATAAGGGAACGTTAAAATTATTACTAGATGAAAATGACTCACAATATTGTATGACCATTTCAATAATTGAATATTCAGTATCCTTGTGAACGCAAGGCATCTAAGACTTATTTGTGGTATTTTTAACAAATAGTACATTAATTATTTTATAATTTCTGTATACCTAAGTGAGTGTGATTACACTTAATGTTAAATATCATATATTAAAAAATCAATATGACAATTAGAATAACACGAGGAATACTATTTAAGGTAATTTTATTATGTATATATATTTGTTATTATCTTTCCTAGATCCACTATTATTATTTATTTTGTATTTTAGTGTCTTAAATTATTAGAGACTACCTTCGGCTTCGCTAGAGTATTGCAAATATTGTAGAGATCTCTCATTAATTTAATATAAATATCAGCCTGTCATACTCGCTGAAAGGTAGCTTAAATCGAAAAGATTTGAAAATGGATTGAAAGAAAAATAATAATAAACTTTCCTCTTCATGCTATTACTTTTGTTATATTTTTCCTTTTAGTTTAATCAATATTTATTAAAAATTCCAATTATTATTAAAATTGAATTGATGACGCATTTTTTTTTATTATTCAAACTCTTATATATACTCTAATAAAGGAACTAAAAAATGTAAAAGATTCATGCATCATAATTGTAATAAATATAAAATATACGACAAGTAACGCTTTGAAAATAGTTTCTAATCAGTCATTGACTCAATGTCACGTGTAAAAAAATATTAAGAATTGATTGCACTGCAATTATAAATACGAATAAGTCTAGGTGAACGAATGGTCCGTAGAAAACCAAAAGTATCCTGGTCTTCCGCCTGGCGTATTCGGAATTAAAAATCAGTTATTCTTGTAGGATTTTAGACGCTTATGAAAATCGAGGCCTTGGTTATATTTTTTCGGCTACTGTGCAGTTCATAGATTTAATTCATATGTTTAGGTGTTTATGTCTAACATTAGCATTAAGGGCTTCGAATTCCGGCTTCAAAATTTGATGTGATTTTCATTTATCGTTATTATTCGATATATTGTGTAACAGCTACTCCATTTGACAAGAGCCTTCCCACAAGCATGCTATAAACTTTCTGTGTTGTTTTACCACTATTAGGTCACGCCTCTTCGTATTATTTTTTGTTATTGTCATTGTTTTAGTACTGTAAATGTTTTAATATTATTGACTAGTGACTCTAAATACCACATCATCTCATATCTCATATCATCTCATACCACTATAAATACCACACTTTATTAAAAAAATCTTTACTTTTCATCTCATGGCTCATTACCTTTTCATGTTCAAAGAAAACGTTATTTGGCGTTTTTACCCCATACCGTTCAGGCACGTTAACATTTTCGCAACCTTTTCGATAGTCGCGGCATTTGAATAGAAATGGGTTGAATGTGACATTTTTTAATACAAGAAATAGTAATTGTTATATTTTATATCTTTGAATGTATAATACTTATTATGGTCTTAAAAAGAATCAATATCATCAACATTTCATTATGGCACTGGTCACTGCTCCATCAGACTATATTGACGTTATAAAAAATAACGAGATAAAATTATTTACACAATTAGTGATAGAATGCTTCGTATATGTACCACATACATATAAGATGTATAGGACTGTGTTCTGTAAGATCAAGGAAAAAGAGCAAAAGAGCATAGTTTTTGTTTCAATATTCTTTACTATTGATATCTATCAGATGTAAAACAAATTAATATATATATAAAAAAAGTTTTTTTTATATCTATTATTTTGTTTCATAACTACCCGTCCCTTCAGAGGAGAAAAGCGGTTTTTTTTATATAAAACTTAATCCCAATCACTCCAATCCTTTAGAAAAAGTAAAGTAAAAGACACACGTATAGAAATAAGCTATTTTGTAATATCAAAATTGTATTATTTTTGTTGTAATCATCAATTTTTGTTTGTGTTCACAGGACTCGTGCCGTCTTGTCGGTGGGTCCAAGTTCTATGAGGTGTTGGAAGGTTCCTCGGCTGATGCCTCAATACCGTCTCCTACAGAGAAACATGACCACATGAAGCCGATTGAAAGCGACGATGAAGGTAATAAATATTTACGACTCTTGATATCCACACATTATTAGTATCCGTCGGATGAATTCGTACTGAAAACTTCCTTACGATTCGCGCATTCATTGCTTCGCTCCAGCCTTTTTGGAAACTCTCCAATGCAGCGAAGTTCCGCCATGTGACCGCCAGGACGATCCATAAACACGTTTGTTTTTTACTTCGATCTAAAATCAACAAAAAAGATACAAGATCCGAAAACAGAGACGTTGGAAATAAGTTCTGATGAACTAAAATAATCCTGTCATGTTTTTACATATATGGTATATCAAAGAAGTGGGTAAATGTAATGGTGTGACGTATTATTGTATAACGTTAGGATAATGGTGACGTCAACCTTTCAACCTCTTCTTTGGATTGAGATTGTGGTATATTTGTATATAAACTCTAGCCACAAACTAGAGGGAGTTCCACGTATGTACCTATATAATGGCCATACGGGATTCGTAATGGCATTTTCCTTATAAAGAAAATATAGTATAAAAGTTTGTGCAATTTAACGTTTGTAATGTATTGAGAAATATACATAAATTTGTTGCACCAAGAAAAAAATATGTAATACCTAACACTCAAATTGCCTGCCTTATCTGTTAGTTTTGAAATAATGATCTTGAACTTTTGTTATCCAGTTGTTATTAAAAGATGATATTCATATAGTGAAAAAGTGTTTAGAATCTAATAAATACAGTCAGTTATATACTGGCAGGAATGGTTCAGTGTCGAAAAATAAACATGGAAGAGTAATTTATTAATCACGAAATATCAAAAATATGCCAATATCAGCTGGTTGGTAGTCTTAAATCTTTCAACTGTTTTCATTAAATTATTGCCTTAGTTTATGTCTATACTAGTTGTAACTAAGTTAATGTATGTTTACTCTACAGGAGGAATTTGAAAATCGGTTTTTCTTATATTACTTTATATTTTACAAATAAAAATCATTCTTTCTTTTAATTTGTTAATTCTTATAATATTTTCCTATTTTTATTGTTTACAGTATCAGATGTGGATCAGGAATGCACAGTGTTCAGCGGAGTCAGCTACCTCGGTGCGCAGAATATAGCGGACCCAAAATCCGAGAGCGACATCCAGCGAATCATGAAGGAACTAAGTTCGATGCCAGAGAGCAGAGACGGCATCGCTGTCTCTATATCTGTACCTGTGTGCTCTCAGGGACTTGTTGTGTAGGTTTAACAAATTTTATTTTTTTTATGTAATATCAATGGCAAAGAAGCTGTGGTCACACCTGTTAGAACCTGGTATCATCTCTATAGACTACACAAGGTGAATAATAATAATAAAAGCTTTTTATTACGCACAGTAAGTAAAATTACGAAAGAACATGCCTACATGTGTTTAGCAAAAAGTGGCCTTATTGCTTAAAGCAATCTCTTACAACCTAGTTAATTTGTGATGCCCTTGGTAACCTTCATGTGTTTTTATTGAATGGATGATATTAATATCAATGACTCGCCTCTGCTATCGCTATACGTTACTGGGACACTGGAGCATGAAATTAGCTCAGTTTGCTCATGATACATTTCCCAAGATGGTTGCCAGGGTGTACTGCAATGTACCTTTCATTACTAGCAATTGTGCTACTGGTTCCCGCTATTAACTATTAGTTTATCTAACCTTCATGTGTTGCCATTCTTAAAGACAAATGTTGCTCCTCATTAACTAAATAAACTAAACTAAAATCCTCTTTTTGAATTTGAAAACTTGGGAAAATATCCTTAAATTTGGGTTAAAATAGTTTATATGGAGATGAGAGCAAAGGTTTTTTGTAATATTGTATAGAACACTGAGATACCAAATTAGAGGACAATAGCGGAATGTATGGGAACTATGAAAACAAAAATAACATATTATTGTTGAATGATGGTCAATAATGGTCATGTTATGATAAATTTTAATGGAAGATCAATGGAATGTTTTTTCATAGTTCTTGAAAACCTTAATTTCATTTAGGATACTTTGGGAGAAAAGGCACAGCTTGTCATTCTAATCGGACGATCTATTGCAGGCTATACCAGGCTGACTCCAATAGTGTGATGACGCGTTACGCCGTCAATCGGATATCTTTCTACGCTCGCGGCGCGGCCGGTTCGCCCGTCGCTTCCTGCTTCGCGTTCACATGGTCCCATGGAGAAACCAAAGAGTCTGCAGTATACAGGTGCCATGTGTTCCGATGCCACATCGCAGAAGCTGTCAACCAAGTGTCAAGTAAGTTTATAAGTGTAAATCACATATCATTCGATTTTTTTTATTTTTTATACCGCAAATCAAGCGTACGGCTCATCTGAGGGTAAACAGTTAGTTTAGGATATGAACGCATAGCGATGGAGTGCTAACGCGATTGCGTGACTCCACCAACGGTAGTACATAGTGTGGTTCTTAATGGATAAAATCCCACACACCCCACCTACCCTCCCACTGGCGGGTCTTTGAAGATTTTACGTTTAATAAACGGCAATGGACATCAGAAAAATTCGAGGGTCATGTGTGCCGTAAAAAACCAATGTTGTCGTATCTACTGTTCTAGCTGTTCTATTTTTGTTGTTTGTAGAGTTGCCCATCTTTAGCACTTATGTATTTATATACATAAGAGAGAAGGGCAAAAAAAGCATAAATTTTGCTCCTGGTCTTTACTGGTCTTTTAACGATAAGAATATCGTTAAAAGACCAGTAAGTTTCTTTGACGATGCGAGGAGGTACTTTGTCATATAATTGTCGCTTCTATTTCTTGTATGTACATATATGAATATTATTTTCGATAGGTATTGATTTGATATAATTAAACAGAAAATAATTGTACAAGTCATATAGTTTTTAAAAAATATATAGCAATGACACTTATAGAAACTGCATTAAATAAACACATGCGAATAACATTCTTAAAGATAAAACTATCAAATATAATGGAAAATATTTGTTTTAGTTCATTTGTTACAAAATTTGCGAAATTGTTTAAATAAAACCATGTTTATTTTAAGTTAAGTAAATGCATATCTAGTCAACAAGTTCTAATAATAGTCAACTATTACGCATTCTTATTGTACTTGTAAATAAAGTACAACTAACACTGTTACCATTCCTGTAATTATTGAGTCGATCCTGTTTGGTGATCATGTTTATAGTTTCCACCAATATAAAGGTCATCACAATTAAACATCTAAACATCAAACTACAGCTGGATAATAAATCAATTACGTCGCTATTGCCATAGTGTTGTCCATATTATTAATTCTTGTCACGCGTCCAGAATTACAAGTTCACCATTGTGTGGTGGTAATGGTGATAAATAATTTACAACACTGACTGAAGTAATACGTTATGTATTCATAAACTGACTTAATAATCAAGTAATGATCTAGTCGTTGAAAGGATTATGAAGATATCTTATATATACAATTCTTGAGTACAATGTGCCATACTCCTCCGTAACGACTTGACCGACTTTTATGAAATTTCATATGCTTATTCAGTAGCCACGATAATCGGTTACTGTGTATTTTTTAATAGCGATTTTAATTTATATGGCAATACAACGTTTGCGAGATTTGCTAGTATATATATAAGATACATGTTGATATATGTATGTATTTTATGTATAATTAATAATTTCTTACAGGTTGTTCAAGGAATAATCAACCTAAGAATAGAAAATAATTTATTGAAATAAACTTAATTTAAGCACTTTTGAATAGTTATAAATTTTCCATGCCATGCCAGCCATCACTGTGCTCGACCATATTTTAGATATATATATCAAATTGATCTAATATTTACACTTAAGGCGCAATACCTTATATTGAGATACCTCAGATGTATTAAGTGAGAATCGAAGCCAAAACCATCGGATGTAATTTAGTGTGCTAAACCATAGTTATGTTTTTGCGCACCACCTTACTACCGAATACAAAATTATAATTTGTTGCCATACACGTCATTTTTAGAAACATAACGTTCAAAATATGTATATTACTTAAATTATATCTGCCATCGCCCTAATTATCTAAACTCCATTAATTTCATCACATGCAAACATCTTAATGATTACAATACCGCTCGTGCTAACATTAATAACACCAGATAAAAGAGTAAACACACGTAAAAGAGGCACATATAAGTTTGATAATTACCGTAAGCATACTTTTATAAAATCTTAAATTTATCTCTACTAGCTATGCGGGTTGCATGGTTTCGATCGAAGGTTACGAATGAGTTAAATGAAGCGAAATGTTTCAGTATGACCATGATTAAAATAATTTTAATGTACTATCCGTACGTAAGAATTATATATTTTCAGGTAATAATAATAATAATATTGAAACACATATATATATATTTTATATATTTATCAGTTTGAAATAAACTGAAATACTTTGAAGACGAGCCAGGCGTGTCCATGATGTTGCATTAATTTCACCTTCTATTTAGTGTGTTCTACTTTTTACAAACGACTTCGTGTGTCCAATATTATGAATTTACCAGGACAAATATTCGCTTATGTTATTTTCTGTGCCAAATATTATAGATCTGCCAAATTTCCCATCTAGATCTACCCAGCCATTGGTTTCATTAATTTCAATTCACTTTTTTACACTTTACACCGCCTTTACATATTCGGAAAAAACTGCGGACTCTATTATAATATTAATAATGTCAGGACAATTCACACAGCGCCATCCAGTCCCAAGTTAAGCTAGCTAAATCTTGTGTTATGGGTACTACAACTGTAGAATACGTATATTTTGTTAGTAAATACATACATGTTATACAAAAAAATCACCCAGACCGATACAAACAATCATACACATGAATACAAATGTATGTGCCTTGCGAGGAATCAAATCGCGACCATCGGAAGTAAAGCCGTGTGCTAAACCCCTAGACCACAGGAGTAAATCCTATTGGGCCCCAAACAGAATTATCAAAATCGGCGCTATTTGAGTAAATCCATACTAATATAACAGATTCAAAATTATGGCTATTTGTTACTTTTTTACGGCTTACCGGCTGAACAGATTTTATTGAAATTTAATATGATGAGAATCTGTATCATGAGGACGAATATGGGCTACCTTTAATCTAAAAATAGCAGACAAAGTCGCGCGTAACTGCTACTAATACAAGAATAACACCTCACACAGCGCCATCTAATCTGAAAATAAGCAGAGCATTTATGTATATATATAGAAAATCAACGCTGTAGCTGGGCTGCAGCATTATGCTGTGCACGTGACACCCCTGGTGTTTTAGGCGTCCATAAGCTACGGTAACCGTTTGCCATTAATTGCCACCTACGTGATATGAAAAAAAATGCTACGCAGAGTCGTGAACATATATTTTATATGACATTGGTAAATTTTTATTATGTTGGTGTGTCCACGTGTATATATGGTAAAAATGTACTTATATCAATAATGTTTTCCAAATAAATACATATATTATTATTTTTGTACAATATATCGATTCACACTTTTATATGCCATGTCAAGTCCGTACAAATATATCAAACGAAATATCCAATTTCCCATAGATATAGAACCAAATGCGTAATATCCGATACTGAAATGTACTATACTACAGCTCTGTATAATGTTAGGTTAACAAACTCATGAATAACCTTTAAATGTCTGTCCCTGAATAATATATTAGTGGAGTGACCGCTTCATGCAAAGCTCTATCACAGTCATTGGCATAGTTTTGTATATCATAGCCGATAACGACATATTGAATTACGTGCGCACACTTATTCTGGATTTTTAGTAGTTTTCACTGAGTTAGACTACTTACGAATATTATTATTTATATGTAAAAACTACAATTACATAATAAATTAGGTACTTACTACTTATATATAAAACTACTACTATACTACTAGAAAAATATTATACTTATTATACTTATTACAATATTATAAAATTTAATAAAATAATGTTCCATACATACAAGTTATATGAAAAGTATTAATTGTAGTGGAATACTAATTAATATTAGAAATATGAAAGAGAAATAGTTTGCATCTCAATTTTTTATGCCTTAGCTATTCTGCTGTTATGAAATTAGCAGCTGGTATTTGCGCTTCATGACTTTTTTCCGGTTAATTGTAGTCACTCGGATGAAATAGTGTACACCAGCGTGTATTAATAACATTAACATATTAGCTGTTATCTAAATTAAAATGAGAATAGAAAATCGAAGACCTATGTTGGAATCGAAAACAAAATAGTTTTTATTTCATTAATTCCCCATCTAAACATAAAAGAAAATCGATTTTTTAGTTTGTAAGGGCTAGTTTAAAAAATAAGCTATTTAATCTTTCTTAAGCTATGTGTGCTTAATTTTTTACGCATTTACCAATATAATATATGAGTTCTACAAAACAAACATGCTCCCATGGAGACTATACATGAATTTATTTATTTATTTAACGTGAAACCATGTATGCGTTACATAATACAGGCTTCTTTAACCCTTCTCATATTTTTTTTAAATACAAAAACAATAATTAGAGATCTCTATAGTAATATAACCGCTAATGTATGATAAATCCAAATCTATCATAATGGTATAGTATTACATGACAAATTACAAGAACAATATTCGAGTCACGAGGGCCGAGGGCAGAATACTCCCGCGCTCCGGCTTATCACGATCATTCGATTGTTTGTTTTTATGTTTACCACACGTCGGCTGTGAGAGCTCGCGCGTTGGTGTTTTCAGCCACATGAAGCAACAAGTACAGTGCGGTTGTTATTATTGTTAATTATACTGGCATTGGATTATTAATACTATTATCAAGAACAACAAGGTACATTTTTTATTTTTCGCCGATGTGTATACTTAGTGTTTTTTGTTTAGATTGATATTTTGGTCATCACCAGCATCCACCTTACCTTATTTGTATATTAATATTTGATCAATGTTATTTGTCGACGGCGTCATATTTTTCTCTCGTCTATTCACGTCTGACTGCCGTTAACTCCGTATTTACTCCTGTTTTCATGACATTATTCTTCTCACAGACAATGACAGGCATCATTCTCTTTTTTTAGGCCATTCTCTTATCCATCCATCATTCTCGCACATTACACGTCCATACTATGTTTACATATGTTTATGGAATTAAATTCCTTCATTGCAAAGCTTTTACAACGTTTTACTGTGGAAGTAAAATAAGTGTTTTACCTCTACAATTAAATCCTTGTCAATGTATTTCGCGAATTCACACAGTTATTCTTTGGTCCATACACACACATACGTAATGGACTTATTTTGTGACAAATATGTATATCATACTAACCTACATTTGTAGAATTACTCACAACCTATAAAAGTATATTACCTAGTTTCAAGTTACTTATTTATCAATATTATATTGCGCTTTGTATTAAACAATATGTATTGCATTACATTACTATTGTATATTTTTTTAATATGATATAATATTGTATTTTTATTTTTTTAGTTTTGTATGATTAACATTGAGTTTATTTTTTATATTCAATAATATCTTCCAAAGTATAATTCGTAATCACGGAGAATAGCAAAAATTACCGAAGAATAATCTTGTACATTTATTCTTTATTACTTAGTAACTAACAATGTTTTTTTAATTACATATTTAATTTATTGCTCCGATAGTATGTTTAGTGATAGTGGACTAAATGTAAATGCTAACTTATGAAATTTCCAGAAAAAATCTGTGCATTTGACCCTATATCGGAAGATAATCTCAAATATATGGCTTTACTTAAATGCTAAATAATATTTTTTGGTTGTTTAACACAAATATAAGATAAAGTGATAGCGAAAGTTCCACAAACTCGGTCAAGTTTATTGCATTTTACATAATTATGTTAAGTATTAGAAAATATTTAGACTCACGGCTGGTTGCCGCCCACTAATGATGAGCTGTCCTTTCGTGTTGACAAAACCGTTAATACAATATGTACTTTATTCCGTTGTGTTTAGAGTTTGGTTCTAATTGTTGTAAAATTAGAGATTAGCGTAACCATGTGGAGATGCAAAAATATTTTTTGTTTTTTTTTTATTTGTAACGAATTTCACAAGTCGTTCTTTATTTCAATTTTTGTATCATAATTGCAATTGTTTTTATGTAATTATATGAATATTAATTAACTGTTCTAACAGTTGACGAATTTAATCCAATATTGGAATGAAAATTTACTTGCAACCATTTGTGGGTCGATCTATCGTTACGGTATCGTCAATTTCTGTGAAATTCGGTATTCGATGAGATTTATTGACATGATGACTTAGCAAAAGGAGCATATTTTCTGGATGTATGAGATGAGAATAACATGAGTATAATCGGGGATATATATGAGGTGATCCATATTTGTATTCAGCTTACTGTGTGTATACAAATACGGATCTCTTTATTTATATACATGCGTTAACAAAGGGAGACTGTGTAGTCGTTTGCTTGATCTCTGTCTCATGTTTTATTGCCGCCATCTTTATTAAATCACAAGCTACATTTACTAAATAACTTAGTCCTCAAAGACATGACATGAGATGTAGTACGGCCGTCCGAATATATTTTGTCCATGTGGTTGTTTTATAGAAGAGAACTTTTGGACGATATATGTGAGATTAATTAATGAAACAAAGTATAAAAAGTCGTAAATACTTGTAATGTAGATACAAACACTAATAGTAAAAAAAACAGTCAATTCTAAAGCTGTAGCAAAAACTTTCAAAATTGATACAATAATAAATATGTATATAAAAATGTGCATTGTCAACATGACGGTTATTTTTCGTGAAATGAACCGTTGGCTTGTTCGATATTGTAATTAAATAAATAAATTTTGGTCATTTCCAACAAGTATAAATAATGACAATTCTAAAACTGTAAAAAAAAACATTCAAAATTGATACAAAAATAAATATATAAAAATGCGCAATGAGTTTGCAACGGGACGGTTATTTATCGTCAAATGAAGTTTGACGATAAATAACCGTCGGCTTTGTTGACTTGTTTGATAATTTAATAACAAATCTTGTGGAAATTGCCAGTTTATAGTAGACCACGAGGATAATTCTCGTCGTCAAATATGTATGTTTACCAATTTCTACGGCAATTGGTCAAACGCAGATTGATGATATTGATTTAAATAGATGTCGCAACTGCAAGTAGTACGTCAATGTTCAATCTAAATTAGTATGTAGAGCGTTTGTCCTAAATTTCGACGTTCGTACATAAGATGGCAATGAAAATAATTATGACATTAATATCTGTAACTAGGAGCGCCCGCTATTTCACCAGCGTGAAATTTATAGCATATGTATTATTCTGATGTATAAGCTATATTACTGTAATGTTTCATTAAAATACATTCAGTCGTTTTTGCGTGAAAGAGTAACAAACATCCATGCATACTCACAAACTTTCGCGTTTCTAATATGAATAAAATGCTTATCATTTCTTTAACTTGTTGTAGTCTATGTAAGTAGTTCAGTAGTAACACGCTTATCAATGCTAATAACGCAAAGAGTAAATATTTGTATTTATGGATGTTTGTGACAAAAATACGAAATAAAAACTGGATAGTTTAAAAAAAAATCACTTTTAGAATGTTACATTATCCCGAATAACATAGCCTTTATTTATTACTAGAAAAAAAATGGATTTCACCATTAAAACATTAAAAAATGTCCACCAGTGCTTAACCAGGATATAATCATGCAAAATATCTAAACTATAAAAATTGTGTACCATAAATAATTTGTATATGTGTAATTTTTTATGTAATAATAAACAAGCTAATGACTTATCAGATGATAAAAAATAATAACCCCAGAACAAACCACACAGTGCCATCTATGGTATTGGAGAACTTACATAAATAGTTAAATACATAATAAACATAGGAAATACTCATACCAATACAAAACAATCATTTTGTATTTTGTATTCATACAAATGTTTGTACTATACGAAATTGAAACCGCACTTATCGGAAGTAGGCGTTGTACCATCCGCTATACCATCGAGGCCGTATAGTGAAATATGTACAATAATGGGCATATCCTAGCGAAGTGTTGCATTCACCACAATGTTAACAGTTGATAATGCTTCTGACTACTCCATCCAGAATAATAGTCGTGAATGTATATTATTGTTATATTATTACAGGTTGCTTCGCGAAGGCTTTCGAGCGCATACCGCGTTCCATGGCATCATCATTGGTCGGAGAGCTGAGCGCTGCACCATCAATGACGGGTTCTCTTACTGAGACTTTGGGCCCCACGACGCCTGCAATGCAATTAATGCATGTCCTGGAATGCACAGTTGATATTAAAGAAACTGACGCTAAGGTTTGATCAAAATTTGTTATGTTACTAGTTGTTGACGTTTATTGTTCCTACGTCCGGGTGTTGGATTTTGTAATAGAGTTGCAATCGCCCCTTGTTTACAGTAGGTCGAAATTTAAAGTTTTGTGTTTATGTATATTGTTAACGCCCTGCATATCTGCATATGTGTGCACTTATTTGCTGTATTTTTCATTAAAGTATTAATAAGACGACGTATTAACATTTTGGTCCTTCGAGCCGGATCAAAATGTTTATTTGCATTCTATACGCTATATTAACATAAACCATAAACTTTTTAAAAATTCCACTTACGAGCCGTAGAACTCGATTTTTATCTGCTACCGTGAAAACTAACAATTGCAACAGTGTACCATAATCAAGGCTTAGAATACTTAGACTGTGATAGAAGTTAGCCTTCCAATAATTATAATTGGTATAAATTACCCAAAAAATAATTGTCATTCAACTGTAAGATTAATTAGATAATTTAAGATATCTATTTAGAAGTAAAAAATAAAAACTACTTTATTTGCTATCAATGTTTATAGCAAATAAAAGAAATAAATTGAATTCACTAAATAAATGTCAATTATTTATTATGTACAATTTGTTTCGCCACTTAATAGCATGAAAATTATTTTTATATAATTATGTTATAATTGTATAAACGTAACGTTAATTATTAACTAATTAGGTAATAAACTGCGATTTAATGATAATAATGATTTAATGATGATATATATTCTAATAAATATTAAATCGCAGTTTAATATATTAATTCTATAAAAGTTATATGTACAACATAACAATATGAATACTACAATATATTTTATTTTCTTAATTTTACAGGGAACATTCAGTCACGTCCCCAAAGAGCGCCAGTGGTTCAAGTTACGAGGCGGCATTGATAAACAAGTTACAATCAATGTACAACAAGTAACCAACAATGTACAAGTTGAGACGGATGAATCACAAGTGAGTTGTTCGTTATTAAATCAAATATACCTGCCGAGGTTTTCTCACAAGACCACAGCATGTGGTTTTTCAAGAATGGTATATTAAGGTTTTTTTAAGGATCCGCAAAGCGCACGTGACTTAGCTGATGTCTCATGCGTCTATAGGCTACAGTAACCATTTACCATCAGATGGCTGGCATCACTTGTTTGCCATCATCGTAGTATAAAAAAAGTTCTAATACAAACCTAATATTAATTATTTTTTTGTCTGTCATTATAATTCAATTGAAGGATGATGAAAACTGATTAGTACTGAATAATTGCAGTCACAACAATGTTGTGTAATAATATAGAAATAATATGAAGCCGCCAAGGTTTGAAGGTCCGAAGGTTGTCGGTATTGCTTTTCCATGACGCTCGAACATCCTCTCAGAGTTGAAGTATTTAGGAATGAAAGCTTTAAAGTTGTTATTTTGGTTGGTTTGTTTGTTTGGCTAAATTTATTAGAATACATATATTAGAATTGCTTCATGCATACCTGCGATGGAGTTCCAGGTATTTAATAAATTTTACAATTGCAGTGTCCGTAAATGGAATCGACATTAATACATTATTAACATCTTACTATATTATCCTTTCAACTGTCAAAACGACATTAGCGCCCCATCTGACCAATTACAGGACTTCTCATAGATGAAATAATTGGTTCCTTTGCACATGAGAGGTTATACATAGTATACTGACTGTATTTAAATTAGAACTTAATATAATTAATGTTTCAGACGTCTTACTCTGGTGGACTCTATATTGAGAGATGCTTTGGTATATTACTCGCGCCGGGTCGAAGCGTCAAACACTCTGATATGAGACTGCTTGAAATGGTATGTGTTACTTTTAAACATAATAGTTATATACAAGTTAACAAATTAATCATATAGACGGTACTAGATTCGCTCCCTGTTACGTTTGATTATATATATTACATTACTTCAGATATTTAACAAAGAGATACTTTATGCCACGTGATTGTTGAGTTGTTGCTCTCGGAGCAGATGCCGGGTGTCCGCCCCGAGACCCCTACCTTCACTCTCCTAGAGGGGGCTTATATATTTTTCGCTGGCGTAAGGTCTAATATGATAGCACACAAGCCCAACGTAAAATATATTGTTATTATTATATTTGTTTTCAGGTGAGCGGTTTTGCTGGTGGGTCTAGTTGCTCAGTTTGTGCGCTGTGGAATGCGGGCGAGTCGGCGCTGGCTGCGTTCAATGTGGCTAGTGGGGATGGAGCGCCGGCTTACATGTCACTCGCACTTGACCTGGTCATTAGAGGCATACCAGATCCACTACGGTATGTGTATAGTAGAATAATAACAGTAATCTAAGTGTCTGCGTTAGTTCCTTTTTACGAGTAAACAGCTAAAATGGACGGACTTTGGGATGGTTGATTTAAAAAAATGGGTATTCTAGATTTTTGCGAACTTTTGTTTCAATGAATTATGTAAAGTAATCTATTATTTTACGAAGTATAGTTTTTTTTAATAAAATTTAGACAGTAATTTTGATAGAAGTCCAATATACTTTGTTTAATATTGATTATTCGAATATGTACTTTCTAGTTTTTGCGTTAATGTATCTGATGATGCATTATAATAGTTAAATATCAATATTAAAAACAGAATATATATATATAAAACCAGCGCATACAAGCTGGAGTTTAAATTAAATACTACATGATGACATTTATTTCAGATTGGTAATTGAAACACCAGTAAAAATCTTTCCGCCTACTGAGAGATTTTGGTACTATTTCAAAAGGTCTCTCGTACAGCAGTTCTACATTAATCTTAAAGAAGTAAGCAAACACCTATATTATATTATATATATACTATTGCAGTGACATATTTAACAAATATACCCCATATTTGTTAAATATATGTTTGTGGGGGTGTTTTGTGGGGTGCTCATGGGCAGCGGTAATCACTTACCATCTTCTTTGTCCCCTCTGCTATAAAAAAAATATATACCAGTCTTTAAGTAGCTTGTTTTGTGAACTGTTTCGATTAAAGCTAAGATATAGTAATGAAATTAGAGAATAGGAAGACATAACACATTACTCTTGAATTGCAAAATAGAAGGGGTAACACGATTAAGGTAAATTGGACATTTTTGTCCTCAAAGCAAAGCAAAGATGCTTTGGCAAAGCATCAGTGGTATCACTAGTGTCACATGATAACGTGATGAAAGTAAGCAGTAACCGTCACCTACATGCATAAACAGCAATAGGGACATTGTTACTTTTTTTTTATACCACGTAGGTGACAAACAAGCATACGGCCCATCTGATGGTAAACGGTTACCGCAGCCTATGGACTATGGAGAGGGCTGTCATCTTGTTTGGCATTCCAATTGGCGATCCATAAAATTATGTAGAAAAAAATATGTCGTGATTTTTTATCCGTTACAAAGAAAAAAATATTCTTCTCTCTTTATAATATTAATTGATAAATATGGAAGTAATAAGGTATATTTCTACTACTACCGACACAGAGTACTCACAAGTTCCGTCTCTGTCTTAGAATATAGACTCTTCAGGGCAGCTGCAGTACGAAGTGGCCAGTGTGGAGACGTCGGGGGAATTAGACAAGTCGCGACTGAATCTGCCTCTGTCGCTGTCCAATTTGCTCCCTTCCCCTTTATCCAGCGTGCCTGCGCCGCCATCACCTTCCGAACCGGATTCAGGTATGTTACTGACGTACAGTTTAAATGGAACAGAAAATTCTATGTATGTAAGTATGCACTTGAACTAAAATGACAGATCTGATAAGTATACCCTAAAATATTGAGGCAGGTAAGAGTTTTTGCAGAGAGTTGAGCAGGTGTATTCAACAGACCCAATGGTCGTGCATATTGTTTAATATTTTTTATAAAATTATAATAATAAAACTAACACGCGGTTGAAACCGCGGCCACAGCTAATAATATAATAATATACAATAATGTAACTTGAAGTGTTACCTCAGCTTTGTAGCATTCTATATGATATATTAGGTTGATAGGAGTGGTTACTTTCCTTAGCTGTCAATTGTAGTAATTTGGTAGTGACTTAATGGTTGGAGTTTCGAATATGGGTAAAATATTGTACTACTGTCCATTTATTAATGATAGTTTGTGTACTGTAACAGATAGCGACGAACCATTATTAAGTGGCACGGGTGAAGTATCGAAAGATTGTGGTGAAGACGTTCTAGAGAATTGGGCTCAAGTACTCCGGAGGTATGATTACTTTTTTATTATAACATTACTACTTTACATCCCACCTGTTGATTCGTCCGTATATCGTTTTAAATTATGGAATTTATTTCTTTATGTAACTAATTCAATATAAACTTACAGATAATTGTTAACACGTTTATATTCTCAAATCTTAAAACTATTATAATAAAAAGCCTATAGAACAGGATTAAAACAGTTAAAATAAAGTTACAGTAATAAAACATTATGCTTTATTTCCATTTTTAATTGATCATAATGAATTGATGCACTAATGGAAGATGAACTCATGTCATTAGTTCCATCGTGATCAATTCAACAGGAATTTATCTCGATGGCCTGACAAATGGTCAACCTGACATGGTATATAGCTGGCTATGAGGGCATTAGCCCACATTACTATCAACCCTCTTCACGCGCTTTATATCCATTGTAAAAATATTTGTATAGTTGGGTCGGCACTCGTCCGCGAGCACTAAACCATTTGGTTCGCGTGGGTGTCCCGGAAGCATTGCGTGGAGAAGTTTGGCTGCGTCTGGCCGGCATCGATGAAAACGATAAACTTATGGACACATACAGAACACTTATCAGCAAAGTGAGTATCATTATACAAAGTGTAGTTTAGTGAAAAACAAACATCTTAGAATTAGTCGACAATTTTTTACGTATTAAACTTGGCATGGCACAAGTGCTTGACGCTCACCTAATGACTTATCCTTTACAATCGGATAGAGTAACCGTCAACTAGATCACGGTCATCACGTCTGCATATGACATACCACCTCTCATGCCATTCCCAAGGACTACGATGCTACTGTACTTTGACTTATCTCATACTTCAACTGAACACGCCCTACATAGCAAGAAGCGGCGGATAAGGCAGAATGTGTGAAACTATATGTATCGATTCCTTAAGTATTGAGCACGCCACTTTTCTCTTCAAATAAATAAACCAATAAATTGTTATTTTCTGTACCGTATTTTTGAGCAAATAAATATATTGCAGCCGTGTCCGTTTGATGCTGTGATAAAGCGCGACATCGCTCGCACGTTCCCCGCGCACGACTTCTTCCGCGAGGCGGGCGGGCTCGGCCAGGACTCGCTGATGCGTATGGCGCACGCGTACGCAGTCTACGATCACGAGGTCGGGTACTGCCAAGGGCTTAGTTTCCTTGCCGCCTCACTCCTGCTGCATGTAAGTATACTCTTAATTTGTATGCCCACTTGTATGTAGTTACCCTACGGCCAGTTTAACTTACCGTTTCGTTTGACACGAACTAGCGAGTAATTTAACAGTTGCACTGTTTAGATCGATTTTTTATGTATTTACTAATAATGAAGCAATTATTTTTTTGTACTCCTTTTTACGAAAATGCGCGGACGCAGGAGTATGAAATTTCGCACACTTATAGTTTATAGAGACGAGTGCAGAATACTAATAATTAAAAAAAATATGCATAAAGAATACAAGAAAACAATAAAAAAATTTTACTCACACGCATATATACTGTATTGCTTTTTCGTAAAGCTGTAGTCAAATTGAAAATGATTAATATTATTTGTCAATAGAACGTTAACAATGTTCAAACTTATAATTTAAATGGTTGAATTTCAACCACTGGGCGACCACAAGTATTTACTAATTGCGTCATGCTGTAAGCTCCTGAGTGAAGCCGTGTTTTAACACTAGCCAACTATGAAGAATTTCATAAAACCAAAATGACAAATGTTAATCTTTGAACTATGAATAGCTAATTAATGCCAGCTTACAAACTGTAAAACAAAATTAACAACTAACCTATTGAAAAAAATTACAGGCAAGAATTGTGTAGGGTGGTCGACCTTTAGCTGTTTTAACCGTTGACAGCTTGATAAAATTTGTGAAAAATTTTCAGTGTAACGTCGTAAGTCGGTGTTTCGATGTTTTGTATAAGAAAGTATGCACCATAATTATAGAATTATTAACTTCTTTAAGACTTTTCAATTATAATCACAAATCATTATAAATACAAAATACATGTATAAATAATAATAAATAAAATCATCTGTTATCTTACGAGATTTAGGTTTAAAAATTGTATAATATGATAATGAAATAAAGATCTCTTCCAATTTGCTTCGTCTCTATAAATAGTTTGCTTTTATTATTTAAGAGAATAGAATGATGCATTATTTGGCTCATATTAAGTCATTGTGTTAATTGTACTTTAATGTTTTTAGATGCCAGAAGAACAGGCGTTCTGCTTGCTCGTGCGACTCATGTACGGATATGGTTTACGTGAGTTATACAAGGATGGCTTTGAGGCACTTTACATGAGGTTACATCAACTGGGAAGGCTAATGGAGGTGATTTTTTTATTATGGTTATGATCTCACTATTTTACAATAACGCCTCATGAAATGCAGAAACATATTTTCAGCAAGCTCTGCTTGCTCTCTGGTACTCTACTGATTATATGGTGTTGTGTATTCTTTTTAATAATGTTAATATAAGCCAAACAAACCGTTACAACTGTTATCCCAGATAGAGTAGACAGAGGATTGTCTGCTGTGTAGTTTGTGAACGACACCTGAGATACCCGTTTTCGCTCAGTATATTTTGGCACCTACCGCCGTTTCTCGGTTTATTATATGGTTTGATATCGGTGTATCTTTTAGAAGTCAGTTAGAAATAGAAAATGACATAAAAAATTTTTTGGTGTCTGCTAGATTTGAACTAAAATTTTTTAAAATATAAATCAGGGTATTCTACTAATCCACGACGTTCTTTGAGGCTGACTTTTTGTTATTCTATATAATAATAATATAAGAGTTTTTCATATCGCAGTAATGAGTTTTGTTATTATTATTTTAGGAACAACTGCCAGACCTCCGTGCACATTTCCAAGAGTTGGGTGTTGAACCACATATGTTTGCATCGCAATGGTTCCTAACATTGTTCACCGCGCGATTCCCGTTACCATTGGTAATGTAAATTTGTTTATATTTAATTCATTTCACCCACCATATAAAAATCGCTTCTGGAAATATTGCGAAGGAAAGGAAATCATCGCGACATATTGAAAAATCCTAAAATTGTTTAATTTTATAAGAACCTAAGAACCTATAAAATGCAGTTGTATCCATGAAATTAATGACATGGAAACATTTGAAAATACTAATATTTCTACAATATTTCTAGGTATACCACATCTTGGACGTGTTTCTCTTGCAAGGAATGGACACGCTATTCCAAGTTGCGATTGCTCTTCTCTCGCGTTGCAAAAAGGATTTACTGACACATGACTTTGAAGGAGTACTCAAATATTTCAGGTACCGACAATAATGTTTTATTTGAAGGCAAGAAAAACTAACATAATATATCCATATAGGAATAGAGAAATAGAAACACGAAAATAATGCTTTAAATTGTTTTTGTCTTATTATATCGAAATAGAAATAATCTTTATTCAATTAAACTCATTACAAGCACTTTTGAATAGTCATATTTTGATTCTACCACTCATTTGGAACACAGATTCATCACAAGAAGAATGAGCAAGAAACTTGTGTATTGCTCTTTTTATAATCAAATCGCAACACTATAAAATTCTTTATACTATGTACAAAGTTGTCTGTGTGTGTACCTCTGTCTTCAGCCAGCAAGATGTTTTCTAAAAAGTACTTTGGTTGAAAGGTGAGATAAATTAGTTACATTATGGAGTACATAGGCATGGCATCTGAGTCTACCATTATTAAATATTTATTTAATATATTGTTATTACTCACACATATATTTAAAGATCGAGCTGTAAATGTATGTTTCATACAAAATCAATAATAATTTAGGACTGTAATAATTTTTGTTTCCTTCACTTAACAGTTTTTCTACAGTATTCTTATATATTTTCTTTTATATACTTTACAATATAATATTCTCGTTTCAGAGTAACATTACCAAAGAAATGTCGCGCGGAGGAGTCATCGCGGCAGATCGTCAAATTGGCGTGTAGCACAAAAGTGAAACGTTTGCATAAATATCAATTAGAATACGAAAAGTTTGTTAAAGGTACTATATTTATTAATAATAAATATAATTATTTATTAATATTTTATACTACTTGACCGTCTAGTTATCTATTAATGTTACACTTTCGCTACTTAAATAGTCACAAGAAGACTGATCTGGAACAATCTGGAATGATACAGAGTTACAGACCAATCAATATGAAAATGACAGTTGTCATTTGTTCTCGCAATTTTTGTTTTAGTTACATATCAATTTGAGTACTTTTACGAATTTCAAAATATGTGTCTCTTCATGAATTTTATAAGCCAAGCAACGTTTTAATAGTTCTCTTTTATTCTTTTAATTGTATATAATTAAAAAGAATAAAAGAGAACTATAAAAATATAATTATTTCGACGACTGTGATGTCCAGCGAGAGGGTGAAAGAGTTACGAGACATGGTATTGTGAACATAATTATTTTTTTCTTTGTTTACAAGGGTATAAAAGAAGTATAAATAAAAAAACTAGCGAATTTTTACTGTCTGTCTAAGCAGTATAGATTTTTATAAATCTAATTTATTTAATTTGACTATTATTTCAAAAGTGAGTCAAACAATTAATTCTTTTACAGAGTCTGCAGAAAAAGAGAAGATTAATGTGGAATTAGAGAGACTGAAAGGCATAAACACACAGTTGCAACAGGACAAGGAGACGCTGGAGGCACAACTATTGGAGGTAGATATTGTATACTATACCAGTGACTTTGTCTGTCTCCATTTTGAGATAAAAGATATTGTGGAAAGGTTTTTACATAGACATGTATTTCCTGATTTATAGTATTAGTCGATTATAGAAAAATAACAGCACCACTTTCTGTATATTATACACCAAAGATGAACGTAACAAGCAGAAATTTTATGAAATAAGAAAATGATTGTATAAAATATATGATTATATGAAAATTAAGCATTTTTAAAAATTCTTTCATCTGTTTAAACCCACATTATAAATTATGTTATAATTTAAATTTTATGGACATTATGTTTATAATTTAAAAACAAAACAGATTTTAACAATAATAGTAAATAGTGCAAACCCAGGACGCATCTCTACTTCACGGTATTAATAATAACATCCCAGGACAATTCACACAGCGCCATCTAGTCACATGCTAAGCAGAACTTGTGTTATGGGTACTAGACAATAGATATAAATACATACACTTTTTTTTTTGTAAATATGTACATAATTTATATACTTAGAAAACACCCAAACGATACAAACAATCATATTTAGAAATACAAATATTGGTACCGTGCAAGGAGTCGAGCCCACGACCATTTGCCAAAGTACCACTGCCAAATAAGGCAGTCTGCTAAACAGTTAGACCACCGAGGTCGTTAAATGAAATGAGATGAAAGTTTTGCAATATTGTACATACAGACGCGTGGCGCATTGGAGGAGGCACAGAAAGATGTATCCCACTATTCGGCTGTATCGAGCGATTACCGCGAGATCTGCGCAAGACTCGACCGTCAGCTACACACCTTGCAGGTACTCCCCGACCTTCATTTGCTAGGGCTCCTTTAGAGAATATCACTCATGACGATCTCGTCTTAGAGTTTTTTAACTAGGGAATATCCATAATGGAAGAACGGGCGTCTCGGGTTTTTTAATGGATATAAATGGAAAGGTACACCCGCCTGCGCTAACGGTTTACCTACGCTGGCGGTGCACCAGCGGAGAGTGATAAAATTAACATCTACACACCAAAAGTGTACCTCGAGCTTCATATACTAGGGCTTCTTTTTAACGTAGGAATCTCCGTGGAAACTCAGTCGCTTCAGGTTTTTAAATGGATGTTAATTGAATGGTACCCGAGTGTGGAGTGTGATAAGTGAGGTCAGGTCAATAAGCCTATCGTGATGAATTCATCTGGAATTTATCATAAGGACGTTACTTAAGTCCACATTATTATAATATCATTATTATCATATTAATATAAATAATAATTTCCCTACTGTTCTCTTCATAAAATAAATAATAAACTGAACTAAATTAATATATATTTTTCAGGAATATGCAAAGGACTGTGTCAACTGTAGCCTGAAAATAGCACAAAAAGATAATAAAGAAGGTATGTCTTAATTGCATGCACTATATAATGTATGAAGGTAAACAAAAAATGTGGAAGTAAAAGAAAAATTTTGATACCATTATATTATATATGCATTGAAGGAGTGTTACGGAATACGGAATACGTACACAGATATAAAAAAAAACAGAAATGCTTGCAACTGTTTCCCTTATCTCTTCATTTCTTCGTGCCCAGTAAATTTAATTGTTCACGTCTATATGTTTAGAATCTGAACAGAAAGGCGATGAGAAGGAAGAGGGTTCGAGCGAGACAGAGGCACGGCTGAGGCAGCGCGTGCGGGACCTAGAATTAGAACTCGCGCAGGTCAAGTTGGCACACGTACAGGCGCAGTGCAGCAATCAGGTATGATTATCACGCAGATACTGTGTGCTAAATTCAAGTTTAATCGATATCTAACTGCGGCTATAGAAAATATCGTTACATTAAGAAAATCACGAGTACTTACCAAGTTTTATTTGTATCTATTGAATTCCCTATAATAATTATTTTATCGAATTAGGTGTTATTTTGCAACGAAGCATCATCAAGCGTTGAATAGAGCTCGTATATAGCGACTGTTGACTATTCGGCGTCGTAGTTTGGTCAAAAAGCCGGTCGGAAATTTATCACCAACAGAGAAGGTCGTAGCATTTCTAGTACCAATGGTCAGGTCTAACACATAATAATCGTAGTGATATTAAACAAAATAATATAAATCCATTGAGTAACTTTATTATTTATAACGCTACTGCCACATTGAACTGAAGTACCGTCCTGTATTATTACCGCGCTAAAACTTTAGAATTTTCCTCTATACAATGTAGGTATGTAGCTATGTTAATATAAATTCCATTTCAGGAACTAAGCCATCAACTGAACTCTGCTCTGAACGAGATGCAATCAGCCATGAACCAGAGACAGTCGGTGGCGCCCTGGCTAGTTCGTACACTAAGTGAGTACACTTTCCACAGCCCTCAAGTTTTATTTAGTGGATATAGTCATAAATATATATTAGTATAGTTTGTTTTACTGAAAGAATTCACACTTAACCAAAAATAGATTTTAAAAATTCATATAGAGCATTTATACTATTAATTTTATAATATGTATAGTTTCAATATTACACCTACTATGTTAATTCTCACATTTACTCGTATATAATTATTTATGTATAATTATAATTACACTTTATTGCGTAGTTTAGAAGTAATGTACACTTTATTTTGTGTCGGGTGAGACCACATGGGTTCTATAATTATTTATTAGACCGTGATATTATGATATCTTTCCATCTTCATTAGATTTAAATTTGACGCTTTTGAGCTTTATCATTTTTCTCAGGCCTGTGGTAGCGAATATTATATTCATTAATAAATTTGTTTATTACTTATTTAAGACCTCTGATAGAATATTGCATGAGATTATTTTCTGATCAGAGTCTGACTAACGTCTCCTGAAATGCTCCTACTGTTACCTCACCACGCAGTTGCAGTACGTATAAGTAAATATTGGATTAGTTTGCTTAGTGTTTGTGTCGTAAATTGTGGTAGTTTGTTACAAACGTGTCTATTTTTATGTATTTTTAAATGTAGTCGGTCTGTAATTAATAATGATTCTTCTGAGTATATGAGTTATTATAGTTTATTGACAAATTTGCTTAAAAAATAATGAATAGTCTGCATTAGTCTTCAACATTGTCATAGACTGTTAATTGTTGTCTATAGTCTGTTTTTTAATCCCGGAAACTAAATTGACAGGTGTAAATGTCAAATTTTCAAATAATGTTACCACCTATAGCGGAGTAGTGGTGTACCTGCGATACCGATTTGTTTAATCGGAAAGTTTTATTTTAACTTATTAGTTTTAAATTTAAATGACGTTTTCACAACAGAATTTTAAAATTTACGTACATATACTAGTGTTTCCATTACTCTCGTCGTATTATACAGCATAAAAATACATTTTGTCGTTTCCGTACAAACAGTATGAAGCTGCAAACCAAAATTTTTTCAAACAGCAGAATATTCTGAATAGAATATTTTGTGATATATGACTCTATAAAAGGTCATTTGTTTTATTAAATAGGCAGTTAGTCTTTATTTTAGTGAAATATAAAAAATCTATTTTGATACAACTACCATATATACCTATGCTTTATTAATTCTGTGATAATGCGTTTTATATAACACTCACACATTATTTCTGAATAACCTTATAGGTTATATAAATTAATATAAATGGGTAATTAATATTAATTTCCGATAGTACCACACAACCCTGGCAACATCGGAAACGTCAAATTTGTCTCCGGGATTAAAAAACAGACTATAGGTAACTTGCCAATACAAAATATATAGTATTACAAATTCATAGATTTTTTTTGTTTACCATATAAAATCATCAGCCATAAATGTACATCATAAAATTAACTTATTATTAACATTGGGTATACATAATATAGGTATACTACAATTTTATTTATACAGCAATATAAATTTAACAAAACCAATACACAAGTAATTTATAGAAACGTATCTACTTTATCATATATATGTATATATATATATATATTATCATAATATCTTTATCATTTATCATATATATTGCTACTAATATGGTATGCTTTTACTAAAATAATATTTAATGTGAAAAATAAAAAAGGAGGAACAAATTAAATTGTTTTATTTTTGCTTTATTCAAAGAACTGTTAATGAAAGTGTTAATGCTTTATAGTATAGATATAAAAAAATTAATATAAGTTGTATATGATACATATTATTATGTTAGCTATTTATTGTCATACATTTGTTAATATCAGCATATAAATTTTTCCAGCTATAATTCGTGCATTAAAACATTTGTGTCGCCTATTTCTACCTGTAAGGAGCTTGCTTTATAAGCTGTGTTATATTTGAGTAATATTTACTGTGTAATAATTAACGTGACTACCCTCCTAAATATATGGATAACAAATGGACCCCGTTTTTTTTATATAGTTCTTTATAATGATGTTGGAAATAACTCGTATAAAAGGCATTAAAAATATTATTCTTTCCGTGTTAAAGGTGTTACATGAACTAATGAGATATATCAATGTGGTTAAGTAAGTTTTCTTAATTTTTTTTATATTTTGTTGTAATATTTGTTTTTTTTTTTTGCTTTAATAGATTCCATAGTGGAAGCGGCGCAGACGCGGCCATCTTTCCAAACGTACGTCCCCAATTTAAACCAAGAACAACCGCAACTATACAGGCAAGGTTCGTTCTCTAGTACACAGGGCCACAGCCAAGCGAATCTCGATAGACGCGTCTCGGACCCATACTCTCCGGACGTCGTGCGGAGGAAGAAGGATCTCAATGCTAAGAGGCACTCTATGCTTCTCGAATCGAACCTCACGCTTTCGAAAGAAGCAAAAGAACACAATCGACGGAGCCATGACGTCTCTACCATTAAAAAAGTCTCAATGGGTTGACATCATCGTTCTGATTTTAAATTTTGGAGCATTTGATTTCTCATTCCTCTTGCGTCTACTTGATCGATACTCACAGAAAAGGTAGTCGTAGACGTGATAGATTCCTGAGTTTGTATTTCAAGCAATTTTTTTTTATTGTGAGTGAAAATGTTTGTGTTGTAATATGATTCTATGGTGACATTATTACACATGTGTTTTCGGTCTCTTGTTGCCGATATTACTGAAGATGTATTCGTGAGATATTATAAAATATTATTTAATTTAGTATTTGTTAATTATCATTATCATTAATTAATAATTGTGTAATATAGGTTTTGCATCCAACATTATTTATTTTGTAAAACACAAAGTTCTTATTGTATTTTCTACGTCCATATATTTTTTTAATTTGATCATTGTATTGCACCTATTACTAGTCAATGTTATTTATTTATCCTCGTCTGTCTGCGTACAAACAATAGTAAATAGAAAAAGATTTTACATTTTAACAATTAAAAGTATTTTAACAAGTAACAATTGGCTATGAAATATTGTAACAAGTGTAATATTATATAAGATCCATTAAAAATCAAATATGTATTATCATATACATGAATAACTTATTTTATTTACATAATAACTGTCAAACGAAAAGAAAAAAAATAAGTTGCTTATTAAAACGAGATTGTGGAAGGAAGGGTAGCTAATATACATGCACTTTGAGTCCTAAATTAAAATAATTTTAATTTTATAATGAAAGTTGTTTGGTGAAGTATTATGAGTAGCAGATTATGTTTGCAGACTGTTTACTATAAAGGACTTATATAAAAACTTATAATAGAGTTTTATTTAGGATTTAGTGAATAAATAATCTCAATAGAAAACTAATTATACATATAATTTATGTATTTACTGAAATATGCTTGGACACAAATTAGGGGTAGAGATTTAACACAAATTGGTTTATGCCATAATATTAGATATATAATATAATAAAAAACGTAAATAAATATATTAAAAATACACTTGTTGATTTCTCGCCTGAAAGTTGGTACAGCATACTTAAAGTAGCATTGGTTGACCATGAAGATACATATGCAATTGGTCTTGAATTCAGTATTAATATTATTGAGACTTTGGCAACCAAATTATATTTTCAACGTTTGACATAATGCCATAAAGAGTGCCTTTGGGTTTGAGTAGAAGAATAAGTCTAGTTTATCTATTTCATTTTAATTTCACTTATAATGCATTATGCCTACTTCAAGAATCGGTAAAATTACATTGTGTGAACAATATTAAAATAGACTTAATAACAGATATTAATATTATTTACGAATTCAAAACTTGAATAGAGTCTATATGACTGGTAAATAACGCATACAACAAGAACAAAGTCGCTAGCCCGAAAAAGTTAAAACAGAGGGCTATATTGACTGGTATACAAACAATAACTAGCTAACCTACGCTAGTCATACTGAAATGGATAAATTTACTAATTAGATGTAATAAAAAATATATTATAAAAAAAAATAATTTACGATGCATCTACTATATACATTTTAATATTTAACAAATATAAGAACTGCAAGAACTGTGTTTATTTAGCTACATAATTATGAAACGCTCATACTCAATTCTCAATTGTAATTTCAAGACGATAGATTTGAAATTCCAATGAACTATTTGAGAGTTGCAGATGTAAGCTAAGTTGTACTGTTCGCAATTGCAACTGCGAATTGGTTCTATTGGTAATCTGTTACAAATAATAATTGTTAGTAACATTGTTAAATAACTAACGCATATCTAAATTAATCAGACAGTACTATCGCCAATTAGAGTTCGCGTTTATTGAATCTTACATGATTGATATTATACCTTGGTATAACCATAATGATCTATTTTAAAGCAAACTACGACTGCATAATTAGGTTATCGCCGTGTTATAGAATGCACATTACTTTAAAACAATTTCCTCGGCCATAACTCGTATTAAGTTAGTGCAATCACAATATTGTAATTCTAGTTACCTATCCTATTGTAAGTCTGTGTATAGTTAATGAACCGCACTATGATTAATCGTTAAGAATGGTGCACATATTATTATATATTGTTTGTACACGTGGCGCCGAAATATATAAAGTCACTAACGGTTGTACAACACATCACTTAACTTTGGACTATCACAGCGTCCTCTGGTGTTAAATGAACAAAACAAACTAAAAAGGGTTTACTTCTAGAAAATACCTTACACATATACAAACTAACAAAGTTAAATAATATCGCCGTCTACTTTTAACACAACTAGTATGTAGTACGTGCACTTATTCTTAATAAAACTAATATAAAAACTAACAAACTTATATAACTGTTGAATATAGCAACTGCACTTTGGCGTCATTTGTATAAAGCTCTGTATACTCAAAGGATAAATATGGGCATGTCATGTCCATCTTCTGCTTCAAGGATGAGGGAGACAGCATGACATATTTGCGTCAAACCTGAAGACGAATATATTTATTTGTGTGAATGCATAATGTATTTTAATGCATGTTTTTTTCAGGGAAGACAGTTGCCCCTGCATCCTACCCATGTGAAAAGTAACATGCGACATTAGTGTGTAATTTACGACTATTTTATTTGATATTATAATATGTAATAATGTACCTGTAACAAAACTTATGATTTTTTTATTTTTATGTGCTATGTTTAACTTATAATGCTACCAGATACATTGTAATCGCGTATCAAATTCGACAATAACATAACAATATTGGATGTTTTCTGTGTTGTGTATTAATAATGTAGTAAACAATATCTGTTAATGTTATAGTGGTACGTTTTTGTTCAGAGTTCATACGTTATGACTACCACTGTGTATTCTGGCAAAATTCGGATAAATTATCGAACTAAGATCATGTAGTTAGGCACACTCCGTTCATAAAACAATAAATGGTTAAGTTTTGCTAATCCTGTTTTTATAAATTCATTGGTAGTCTTACTGTATAACATAAACGCTTAAGGCCTCTTTTACTAAAATTATCCGTTATATTATCGTTGCATTATGATTTCTTTCTTGTGTTACTGAATGTAAATATAATTTTAAAATATTTATATAATACTATTAAAATGAAATCTTGTATAAGACGGGACAGTAGATAGAGTGTTAACAATCTTGCTATCTATTGTCATAATATTTTATATTTAATATACTTTTCACTTTAGTGGAAGGCGTTTAGAAGACTTGAAAATGTTTACAGTGATACAAGTAGTATATTAGGATGCGCAATTTCTGAGAGGACGTGAGTGAGGAGTGAAGTGGAAATTAACTCTCTGTTTCAAATAATCTGTATACAAAAATGTACATAAGATGATTATGATTTCAACGGCGCATTATATACATATTAATAGATTCTAATATGATGTTGTTAATCCTTTAATACGATACAAACTTTTAAGGATACGAATAATAGGTGGATGGACTGTGTGAAAGATGATATGGTAGAAAGGGAGTAAATAACGAGAACACTGCAAATAGGGATGAATGGAAGAGAAAAACATATTATGCGGACTCCAAACAACTGGGATAAAGAAGAAGCAGATGATAATATGATTCAAACTTTTACTTGTATTACTGTAAACATAATCTCAATTTGTAGAATATTGTTTTGAATTTCTATAAACGAAATTGAAAGTTAATGTGATTTAGGAAACAAAATATTATATTAACTCATTATATTAAATTTATATGCGACTCTGTTTGGTTACCTTTGCATGTACAAGTGAGGTATGCCATAATAAATTTAGAAATGTGAGAAGATATTAATTCTACTCATTTTATTTATGGTGTAAGGTATTTTTCTTTTGATCTCTGATGTGGTATTAGTATTAGGGTATAATTTATATTACACTTACACTATTTAGATTATTAAATTTATTTATATATATTAGAATACAAGATAAAAACTATACTTCTTTTTCTTTATTAGATTCTAAATTGTCATACATATATTGCAAGTTTGATCTATAATTTGAAGTATAATGTATAGAATATATCCGTTTAATATAGTAATTTATTTCATGCCTGTTTATAGAAATATAGGTCATGTGTGATTAATAATGATATTGTAATGGTGTCCGAATATAGAGAAATTAATTTATGCACGTGATTTATTCTGAATTTGAAATAAACATGCATTTCTACGTTCCATCCAATGTACACACTATATAATTTGTAATTGCTTACAACCCTTAAATGCTTTCAACACTATTGTACGTGGGGACAATTATCTAATTAAATATAGAATTATATTATAATAAATATTATATAGCTTTATAAATAACGCCAGATTAATAGATTAGTGATGCAACATTAGAGTGAGTTGTATTCGCTAAGTGTTGTTTTGTCTGTCATTTATTGAAATAAACATTTACAATGGTATATTTGTTTTATTTTATCTATTATACTGCGATTTATTTAATAATATTATAAACGCAAAAAATATGAGTATGGTGGTTTGTTACTCTTTCACGCAAAAACAACTGAACGGATATTGATGAAACTTTACAGTAATATAGCTTATGCATCAGAATATATTTTTTATTGAAAATTAACTAAATTGAATATTTAATGAAATTATGCAGTTGGTTTGCAGTCTATAATTGGTTAGGAAGAAAAAGGTTATTCTTGTAGAATTATTAGTTATCTGTTATTGCTATGGTAACACCAAAAAAATAATAGAAATACGAATAATGTCTACACTGCTCGGCACAGCTGAAGAGAGTACTGTGTTTTCTATTCTACTGAAGATGTCACGTCTGTGATATAGGGTGTCTATGACTATGAAATCACGAGACTGGCCACGTAGAGAGGTGTTCGTAAAAAAGACGGACTTGAGTATATTTACGTGGATACCATTAATGGTAGTTGCTGTCCATATTACCACCCACATTGGGAGAAGAAAGGCCTATTGCTATTTGTATTCATGAGTATGAGAGTTTGTATCGGTTTGGATGTTTACTATGTGTAATATGTATGTATTTACAAAAAAAATGTATGTATGTATTTATATCAGTTGTCTAGTACCCGTAACACAAGCTCTGCTTACCTTGGGACTAGATGGCACTGTCTGAATCGTCCTAAGATATTATTATTATTATTAAATCACTTCAGGTTAGCCTGCTCTCTGAAATCATATGTAACCAAATTCTATTGGTTTTGCAAAGGTGAGATCTTCCCCAGAAGCAATGCCGCAGACTTACGCGCTGGTATACACTAGTATACCGTAGCATGGAAAAATGTTACCGAACATTGTTCATAAAAAAAAATTAAGAATAGTCATAATTTACTCATCTCTGACGATAACCGTAACATTAAATATAAATGTAATACAAATCAAGACTACTAAGTCCCACGCTCGTTAGGAGCTCACGACAGCCAGCGTGTCGTGACGCAAATATTCGCTGATAATAAACAGGTCGTTGTATATTTAGACAGATCGTATTTTGGTACCTACTTAAGGATTATACATTGGTACAAAGGATACCTAATTCTCTAATTATGTTGACATTAAGGACCCACCAACCTATTTAATTTCGCTTTTGATATATTTAACATTTAATAACGAAATTACATATTTACTATGTTGTAAACAAATATTTCAGTAACAAGAACTTCAGAACAATTACCTAATAAAGTATTGTTCTTAATCACGAAAAAATTAGGGTTCCAATAGTAAGCATAATAATAGCAATTAAAACCAGTTGTTAATTATTCATATGGATAACCCTAAAATAATGCTTAATCAATATCTGGTTTTCAAAGGGTAAGTTATTGGATGAACGAACCCTTTAGAATATGTCAGTATATTTGTAGTGAACTCCATTTTGTCCTGAATAACGCTTACCCTATAAACAAGGTTAAAGGATATTGCTCTCTAAAGGGATGAAGTTAAAGTGCAAAAGAGAATTGTAAGAGAAAACGCATGTCAGTCACCATTAGTGTCATTCAGAGTCGTTCTCCCTTGTCAATTGCTTGCCCGGCTGCCTTGCTTTGGTCGGTCGGTGTCGAATCGTATAACTTTTGTTTTTGTATTTCAATACCCATTTACATACCTGTCTAAAATTTAGTTTACATAAACAGTGCACTGTTATTACAATGCCTAAAGCTAAAACTGATGCTGTCCACCGATTTTATCATTATGATCCAATCGAAAATAAGAGCAAATGTTTGATTTGTGGCAACAAAATAAAGGTAAGCCAATGAAAATAGATAAATAAGGGTACTCAGTATTTTGTTGTAAAATGCTTTTATGTAAAACTCTATTGTGTTATAAACAGAGGTACGGATCACGTTCATAGATTTAGTGGACATAATTGTCATAGACAAGATTGTTCTTTCATGTTCAGTTATCCTCTGGAACTAATGGGTAGCCCTAATACTCCTAAACCCTTATCTAGGTATAAGATCTCTGTGGAATGCATTTATTAATTAGTCTGAAATGTAATATAATAATCACGAAAGTTTATGTGTATGGATGGATGGATGTTTGTTACTCTTTCACGCAAAACATTTCACGATAAAATCCTGAACGGATTTTGATGAAACTTTCCAGTAATATAGCTTGTACATCAGAATAACACGTAGGCTCTAAATTTTATGCAGGTGAAACCACGAGCACAGCTAGTATGTGTATAAATAAGGATGTGATTGGAATAAAAAAAGTATAGAAATATTAAAATGAATGTATTATGTTCAAAATATACATTTTTAGTGTATTGTAATTATAATATTAACCCTGGACAATTCACACAGCGTCATCTAGTCCCAACTTTTAAAATCACTAGTATCCTGACGACTTAGGCGTAATGCCGGTTAGTCAGGGAGAGAAACACCTCAATGCCTACAATATTCACAATTATCTATCTCTTATTTGTTTTTATAATAATATCAACACTTTCGCTCCAAAACTCCCGCTTCCTCCGTTCAATCGTCCGTCATCCACTTGTCAATGTCACATAGATTACTTTGGCTCTGGCCTCTGACGTTCCGTTTCAGGTTACATGATTATTGACTTTACCATTTTTAATTAATGGTGCGTCACACGATAGTTAACAGTCGGCCATCCTGCAATAGTGTCTGGCCCAGACACAGAGGCAACTGATGAGAGTAGTCATGCTTATCAAAGGATATAGTGTCTACAGGATCATATAACAAATACTTAACTAAATAAACTAAAGATACACATTACTTTCATAACATTGACTATCTTAGTATACTGTCAAAGGTTTACAATCTAAAATCAATACTAACAGAGCTAAGTTTCGGTATGCATTCAGAATGCACAAAATATAACATAACATATATTAATTTACATAATCCAAATCACCCAAAAACATGAACAACCTTTTAGAGTAACAACAATTATTTGGCGGTGATTGACTTCTATGAGTCAGACTGTAACATATCACCATCACAATGTAAGTTTCCGATCTTATGAACATTGCATTTTTTTTTTATACCTTCAAAATAGAACTTGACATTTCTCATCATGAATATTTTAACGGATAAATTTAACATATCACATTACAAAAGGTAAAACTTAATTACCTACATATATAGAGAAAAAAATATAAAGAGAAAGTAATATTCTCGTGACATAAAATTAGAACAAAATCGCTGCCTGCCTTCACCTCACCAATAGAAAATAACAGGTCAATATTATACAAGTGGTTCTAATACCATCAATACTACTACTACTATTTTACTTCGACGATACTTTTGATTTACCAGAGAATTATTTTAATATAACATAATTCATTGAATTTCAGTTATGATTTACTTAACAATACCATCAGCTCACTGGTCAAGTAATCTATTGCACCCTTTGAACCCTGTACATTTAGGGAACTATAAATGATTGTAGATACTGATCTCAATTTTCTTTACAACACCAGTTTAACATAAACCAAAACCCACTGTTCCAGATTAATGTGAAATAGAAATAATCTTTATTCAAACAAACTTAATATAAGCACTTTTGAGTAGTCAAGATTTTTGAATCTATCGCTTATTCGGAACGCAGATTCATCGCAAGAAGAATAAACAAGAAACCTGTGTGTTGCTCTTTTAAATAAATATTGATTTACTTATATTTAATTAACAACAAGGATTAGGCGTGCGGCAATCAACATAAAAACCGCTACGCACTTAATCTCCGTTCAATCAGACAACATTGACAGCGCTATGAATTTCAAGTTAGATATTTTCTAAAAAAAAACACTGATTTATAAATGATGACATTTATAAATTTTTCAATTTTATAATAAGCTTTTTTTTTTACAAAGAAAATATTTTATGACACATTTGATTTCTTTTTCTGGCAAATTGAGTACAGACTGAGTTTGTTGCAAAACCTTGCTCAATTTCCATAAAACGAATTACTAACTTTCGTCAAACGAACGTGAGTTTAGTAAGCCTACTATTCACTTTATATTTTATCGATGGTATTCGTAGCCACTTCGGCCATCCAACGTTATCGAAGGGCCTCATTCGATATTATCATAACAGTTAACATCGGGTAATATAATAAAATTAAAATCATCTAAAATTTAGTTTGAGATACTTTACATACTTAAAATATGAAAGTTGCCACTGACAACTACACATTACATTTCAAGATCATGAATTCAGTCTTTGTTATATTTTTCCGCCTTAAGTTGTATCACTTAATTTTTCACACCAGGTACTAGTCAGCATCTCTGCAAACACGGCTGCCTAGCTAATTAGTGAAATACCTGTTAAAACAAAACATTAAAAAAATGCCACCGCTTGCCCACTATGACTACGGTCTCAACAGATCTGGATTTTATTAGACTCAGCCACCGCTTGCCCGCACAAGGAGCTACGGCCTCAAACTGGTCAAATTCTCATTAGACTCAGCCACCGCTTGCCCACACAAGGAGCTACGGCCTCAAACTGGTCAGATTCTCATTAGACTCAGCCACTGCTTGCCGCCACAAGGAACTACGGCCTCCAACTGAAACACATCAAATATTTAACAACTGGTCATTTCTCAATGAGGCATTCACCGCTTGCGCACGCAAGGAGTTACGGCCTCCAACTAGTCATATTCTTTATGGTACTATGCTATTTTTACTTCAGCCTCAAGTGCTCTACATTGCAACTCAACTATGGGTTATATGCACTCCCATCAAAATTTACTATTACTTTTTATTCTATTGCATATCTTTAAGAACTGGATTTCCTGGTTCCATTTTACTATTTCTCCAACGCTTTAAAGGACTTTATAACATTTAATCATAAGTTAATTCAATTTAATTATGTACCAAATTCGAATTATATATCTGGTTGATATATATCTAGTATCTACCAATTTCTGAACGAACATGCAATATATTACTACCACATACCCTACTCCTATTATTATCTACCAAATCTTGAGTAGCATCAACAAAAAGCGAGTCGTTCGTTGTACGTCGCATTGAGCACACGCGGATCCCCATTTTCTCCGTGAACTAACGTATACGGAACCATCAGCCGCGATCTCAGCGCAATCATCTCATCAGTATATCATCAAATCTAAATCACCATCATTTACCTTAAAATCCATAAATCGTATTCATAGTCATATGATTATTATATTAATCTCATAATTTCATCAAAGTATTGCAAATCATTTTTCATTGTCATATCAACCGCCCGTTCTATTAGCCATTTTGCTCATAATTCAGCTTGTCATCGATTGTAACTCATCATTGTATCACTAGCATTCCTTAATCTTTCAGATCTATTCGTTCATGTACAACTCTTCACCGCGTATATTTACCGACTATTTTCCATAGAGGTGTATCAAATTTTACCTTGTGATCGTCCTTACTACAATCTTGCAGTGTAACTATCTTGTACACCTCGAGCGCTTTATTCATAATATTTCTAAAGTGTCTGTATACGGTGTCTGGGTTCTATAAATTAGCACCTCTTCTAATTTCCCATTAATTACAACAGACACATCAAATCAATTCTGAAAGGATTAATTTCAATTTAAACTATTTAGTTAGTACAATAGTCAATCCGATTTCTCCAAAGGGCGTTCAGCCACACATACAAGTGCATATAGGTGCTCAGACTAATCTATGGAATCAAATGCCCAGCATATGATTGCGTTGATCATTACTTATAAAAATTTTAACTTCCGTCGTCGTCAAAGACAACGCTTTAAATTTAATTCAATCTTATTTATCTGATCAATATCAACCAAATATTTGAAAACAACATCACCGTTATTATTATAAACTTCCAATATCTCTACACCTGTAATTTTGTACAATTCAACATTAAAACACCCTCGCTTATTTAATACATCCGTTCTCGTATGCTATGCAAGTGACAACATCAATTCTTATATGTTGATGAGTTTACTATTAAAAGCCTTAGTTAACACTTTTATTTTACTTCAACTCAACAGTTATGTCAAAAGTGACAATGGTCTAAATACAACACATCCAATCTCATATTCCAGTCAATTGAGTCAACATGTATACCAACAATTCTTACGTGCTCGTTAATTTAGCATTATACGCTTCGATTATACTCTTTTTTTTTTTTCAACCAATTAAAATCTTAATAGATACAATATCTCAAGATTTAACAAAGGTTAACTAGAAATTAATAAAATTGGCAAAACCATCTACAACAGTAATTTATGACTGTAAACTGTAATCTATTGTTAACAATATTTAACTTTCTTATATCTTAACTTTCATTTATATCCTCTAGTAACTTTTCTTATATATTCCTGGGATTAAATTGACAGATATAGCCTTACTTCCACAACTTATATTGTCTCTCATTTTATTTGCATTGGATATAAAGGTCTCTTAAAACAGTTATAGGTTCAATAGGATCCTTTCAACTTAAATCTAGTATACCCATGTACACTTTTCAAAACTTTAATGCTCATACATTTAACAACAATCAATTGTCCTTTTGTTTTTGTTTTTCTTTTAACTACCTGTGCTTCTTAAATTTGTATTCACTATAATACCATTATAATTAAAGAACAATGGCTCAGCTCGCAAACATTTTCTCAACAAATAATTCTCTATAACATGTAAAACTTACAACTTAGACCATGCAGTATTTATTTTTCATTCTACATATATGCTATTCATAAAGTAGTTTATTATCCATCAGTAAACCATATAAAAATCTCATAAATTACGCCAGTATCCATATTCATAAACCAGCTCGTCCATACTGACTATCCATGTCTCTCTCTATGGAAGTTTGCATCCAGTCTTCTCCTGCTGTTTCCTTTTTTTTCTTATGTCATCTGCTTATCTTTTTTTCTGCTGTCCTACGTTTCTTTTGTCTGTCGTCTCTGCCATTTTCTTATATATATATATATGGCTTATAAATTTTTCATTTCATTATATAGCGTCCTACAATCAAATCAATCACAATACTATTTAAATGTTAAATAGGCATTACTATATGTATTTATACCTGTACATATGATACAATTTTCTTTTGAATCATTACTATTTATATATTTTTTTCTTCTATAAATTATACTGATACTGTGCTTGTGAATCACTGTTCATCCCAACGGATACCAACATCTCACTTTCAATCTAAGTTACATTTGCAGTGATTAACTTGTGTTCACAAGATATTGAGGATTTTTCCTATTCTGTTTTTTTTTTTTTTACTTATATATTCCTGTCACAGCTATACCGAAATCACCATGCACTGTCCTCTACAGTACAGTAGATTCACAGAAGATAATTGGAAGCTTGCCACAGTATAGAAGTGCTATCTTCATAAAACCGACTAACTTCAGTCTCATCCTCTTTGGTAACAAAGTTATATTAAATAAAACAAACCACATGCTTATAAAGGCATAGCATAAAAACCAACAATCAGGAATTCTCATAAATATATAACGGTTGTATAGAATGGGAACGAATTTCCATGCATGGACAATTATGCAGCCTATTAATAACCACATTACCAAGGTCATCAGCACAGTTTTCTAGAATATCCATATCTCTTTACTTTCCTAACAATCTTGTCTGTCTGTGTCTCATAATTTTCCTCTATAATAATTTTAAAGCTTATGTACTTTGAATATCTTAACATTGCCTCCCACAGAGACTATTTAATAATAACTAATTAATATACAGAAACTTCATTAGTCAAATCATAAAATATTTTATAATCCTGTAGTCTACAAATACATAGAAGGTAAGTTACCTAAACCATTTAAAAATAGTATCCAATTTTTCCTTTCTCCTCTATTTCACCATATCACAGTTTACATGTATTCACTTAATTCTCTCCCATCTGTCCATACCTATATACAACAAAAGAGTGCTATGCACTCATTTATTTCCATTTTCCTGCCATAATATCTGAATTATAAAGTTTATTATCCAAATTTCACAATTCTAGACCACACTGTTTGACACAATCCACGTGCTAACTTCAAGATGAGTTCATTATTATCTCATGAATGCTTATAACTCATGAATGCTTTAAATCAGTTATTATCTTCTGATATACATTTATTTATATTAATATTCAATAATATATTCTACTTGTTTTTTTTTTTTTTATTATCTGTACTTCACAAATATATAATACAATTTGAATTTAAACAATGATTTCCTCCTTGGTTCACATTTCAATTCCAATACAGATTTAACAATGAATCTGTCCACTTTATAGTTTCTTAGTACTGTCATTCTACAAATGACACTAAATAATAAAACTCAATGGATAACTTAAGCTCAGATCCTTGCAGCAAATCTTCAGTTCATTAGCTTATGCACTACACAAGATTGGACAACATAGCAATACATTGCAATATATTACAATAGTCTATTTTCATTATTGTGATAACAATTGTCGTATGTTGTACATATTCATATTATAAAATCATGACATTTTGTGCAATTTACTGTATGGAGAGTTATAACTCATCAAAAGGCAAATACTCTCACTGTTGCGACTCAATATATATATCCAAACATTCTGTATGTACACAAATATTAACTTATTTCCAAAAACTTTTATTCATATTCATAACACTAATAGTAAATTTAAAGACAAGCTTGTTGCTCAAGTATTGTTTAGAAAATTCAACAGGTTTCTTGTACAATCAATAATACAATCAAGAGCCAACAACATTCATTTCTGGAGTTACCAAAAGCTTTTCTTTAGGTTAAAAGACAACTTCATAAATTATAAAACTGAACCATGTAAGAATAGTCTTACCTGTAATCTATCACTTTCTAACATGTCACATATTAATGTGGTGCTTATAAATTCCAACACTCACTTACTAAACATTGTCTCAAATGACAAATGTACATAGCTACAGGTACCTACACAGGACCTTTAAGTACCTTTATTGATCAACAATGGCTGCTAAGGGCCATTCTAATGAATTTCAAGAGAAGCATCAAAGAAGTGAACCAATTGCTCAAACATATAATACATTCAATCTGAGCATACATATAATATATAATTCCAGCATAATATGACACCTTTGAGGAATTGGATATCATTTCTAGGTGCTTTTTCAACACATTAATAATCAATATCATATGATTATGATAACCTTGAGGATCCTAATAGATCTCAATTGGATTTTATACTAAATAATGATTAAATAAGGAACTATTAATAATAATAGTTTACAGTTATTCGGTTTTTTAACATTGGAGTTTACTACCAATTGTTAGCCATTGCTATATATATAAAATTCAAAACACAGCAAGAAATAAATATAATAATTGTACTATCAGAGTTAAGTACTATTTTCACTGAGAGCTTCACAGCTAATCATGAGATAGCATCTAAAATGTCTTTAATATCTAATATTATGAAATATAACATGTTATGTTGCTGGTATCAGTTTATGTCAACAATATACTGTGTCTATCTATATTAATATGCTTTATTAATTCATTAATAAACACATATCAAAGTATCAACCAATATAATATATATACATATGACAGTGTCTCAATTTGGGAATATAACCACCATCAAGACATATACCTGGACTATGCCTGTGATTGTCATTTATCTGAAATGGGATCATCAAACATATATGTGTACCTATGTAAAGAAATAATAACAATTCTTCAATTCAATTCATGTAGAACAAACACACAAAACTGAACAGTAAGTTTGACTAATTTACTGTGAATTAGCAACAAACTCAGCAATACCATTACACTGTTTATATGTATAACATGGTATGTGTTCTCATGTTCAACCTGTATGTCAACATAGTTAATGTAACTGTTTCTAATCTGTTGATATCCTATCATACTCTATCATAGGCATTAATAACATAACAATAGTTACTCTGTATTTTAAACGAATTAGATAGCCATGTTGTTCTATCCTTAATGTATTCATAATACTTCTTTCTTAGGTATATTGTATACCTCAATATCGTGCTACATGTCATGTCATTACTCTCGCAAGTTATCGTACATACTAAATCTATTTAATATGTAGAAAGCAATTCATCCAAAAGTTCAATAAAACAAGTGAGAAACTGCGTTTAATGGTATGCGTGTTATTAACATAAATTCACTTACCACAACTTCTAGTCAGAATTACCTTACAGTCGAATTTGTAGGCGGGATTGGTACCGCTTCTGAACTTTTAAAATCACTAGTATCCTGACGACTTAGGCGTAATGCCGGTTAGTCAGGGAGAGAAACACCTCAATGCCTACAATATTCACAATTATCTATCTCTTATTTGTTTTTATAATAATATCAACACTTTCGCTCCAAAACTCCCGCTTCCTCCGTTCAATCGTCCGTCATCCACTTGTCAATGTCACATAGATTACTTTGGCTCTGGCCTCTGACGTTCCGTTTCAGGTTACATGATTATTGACTTTACCATTTTTAATTAATGGTGCGTCACACGATAGTTAACACAACCTAAGCAGAGCTTATGTTATGAGTACTAGACGACTGATAGATAAATACATTTTAATTGTAAATACATACATAATATATATATAGACAACAGCCAGACCGATACAAGCAAACGTACTTATGACTACGTAGGTACGTACGTACGTGGACCACCGAGACCGTCAAAATGATTAATTATGTAACATATTATTATATAAAAATATCAATATTGTACTAACTATATATGTATACCTATTTTGAATATAGTAATGTAATTTAAAGACATTGATTTTATTTGTTTGAACGGTTTGGTTATGAATACATAGATTAGAAGAGCTATTCGAATCTATTCAATATATCTTATGAATATATTGATTTTACTATTGGTATATTGGTAATTCTATTATACAGTTTCTACCTATACCAATTTGCTTATATTTTTTCAATATTATTTTATCTGCCCATGATGCTGCTTCACCACCTATAGCTGAGTGGCCATTTTAGTTAGTATTGCCACTTTATCGTATTACTACCACACCTTTGGGTAAAACTCTTACAGCGGAATACTATTCCAGCCGTATTCATTTTTATTTTATAGACGACGCTTTAGTCTTTATTTCTAAAGACTAACGCGTCATATCTCTGCATCTGCTAATTTTAGAGTTACATCCTTAATACCAAAACATATCTTGTGAAGCAACCTATTTGTCGGCAGAAATAGGTGAGATAGATCTCACTAATATTACAAAGGCGAAAGTTTGTAAATATAGATAGATGGATGGTTGTATGTTACTCTTTCACGCAGAAACTACTGAACGGATTTTTATGAAACTTTACAGTAATATAGCTGTAATATATAATTAGGATAAAAAATAGTAGAGAATGCTTCTACAGTTAAGCTCGCCTTTTGAACCAGTTTTTTCTAATAAATTTATGAAGTAAAATAGTATATATGGCATATAACTAACAATAGCTATTAATTTTCAGGGTAAACATACATCAAATTTAAAAAATCATGTATCGATAAAACATACCAAAGAATATAAGATTACCGTAGATTTGAACAAAAATGCTGTTGTAAGTCAAGGAAAAATGACGTTAGAAAAATATGAGAGATTAAAAATGCAATGCTTGAAATTAGTGACAGTCCATGGGCAACCATTTTCGATACTAGAAGATAAAGCGTTTCTGAATATTATGCATATGGCTGTTCCGGCATCTGTTAACAAAGTTAATATTGAACTGATTAAAGATATGATATGTGACAAAGCATCTGATATAAAATCAAAAATTTCAAATGAGACGAAAAACAGAATGATATGTTTAAAACTTGATTTCTTAACTTATCTTGACAGAAATTTCATTGGCGTCAATATTCAGTACGTGATTGAGGGAACAGTGATAGAAAGAAATTTAGCAGTGATTATAGTAGCGAATAAACAAACATGTGATTTTCTAAGAGAGAAACTCCTTGCAACTCTCAATTATTTTACGATCGACATATCACAAATATATTCTATTACAACTGATAATGGAAATAACTATAAGAAAACGTTTAAGCTCTTAAATTCCAAGTTTTATAATACGTTGCTTGAAGAAAAAACAGATTATTTAAGAGAATATATAAATGAAAATGAAAGCGACTCTGACGAAGAGGATGAAAGTCAACAAATAAGTGAAAATGATATTGTTAGAAATGTTAATATGTTTGTAGACCACATACATTCTCCATTCAAACCTCGTCTCATGACTTGCGCAGCACATATGCTACATTTTTCAGTAACGGATGCCTTAAACAAAAATATTAAAACACAAATAGTAATAGAGTTAGCGAGAAAGGTGGTACATATTCTTCGTCAACCAACTTTCAAAAACATTTTCCTAGAATCTAATTTGAGGAAACCTGTCGTCGACTGTGCTGCACGTTGGACATCGACTTACAATATGTTAGTTAGCTTATTTTCATTAAGAACGCTATGTAGAAATAATACAGATATATCTGCTGTGTTATCAACAGATTTTTGGCAACAGATTTCATTAATTATCGACAGTTTAAAACCTGTAAATGATGCAATCATGAATTTGCAAAAAAAGCAACTTACTATTGGAGATTTTTTTATAGTATGGTTAACATGTAAATCGAGGGTTGAAGTTATTCCGGCGTCATTAGCTAAAGACTTACTTGATGCTATGAATGCAAGAGAAAATATTCTGAGGAAATCTGATTTAGTATTAGAGAATTTATATCTGGATGGACGATTGAATGTAATCTTATCAGATGAAGAATGTATAAAAGCGCAATCACTCCTATTAGAAACTTATAACCACCTTCAAAATATATTACAAACCGAAGCTGCAGACATCGTATTTGCCGACATTCAAATAAAAGAGGAAAATTACAACAATTGTCAAGCTTCTACAAGGACTGAAAATGAAAATCCAATAATTGCCACTTCCGATATAGAGCGTATATTAATTAATACAGAAAAAGAACGTAATAGCGCTAGGGCTGCTTCTTCACTTGAGGTCATGCTAAAAGATTTAAGGTATGCGCCTAGACTTCCACTTAACGAAAATATCCTCCTTTACTGGAGAAATAAAAAAACTACGCAATTAACAATAAGTGGAGTTGCTAATACAGTTCTAGCAACACCAGCAACGCAAGTATCTGTGGAACAACTACTGTCTTCATTAAAGTTTATCCTCTCTCCTTTAAGAAGTAAGATAGAAGGAAATTTATTACAAAATATATTGCTATTAAAATTAAATCCAGACTTAGTTGAATAAAAACCCGAAGCTACCACCAAGACTTTGTTGCTATTATGCGCCATTGTAGCCCTGCAACTCTGCAGGTGTTGTGGAAACAATCTCTATGATTATTATATAATGAATTATTATAAATATAGAATGTTCCATTAGATAAATGTGCAGAGCGACATTATATCTTTCTTTGTTTTACTTAAATATTATGTTTGTTCTATTAAATAGAATCAATAAAATTGGTAACGCAAGAAAGTGTCTTTAAATCCACTCATGCTAGACATCACTTGGTGCTATTTATATACGAGTAGGTGATAATTACCGCTTATCGTCAAGAGAGTCGCCAGCTTGACTGCCCTACCAAATTCACGAACATATTTTTTTATTCCCATTTCAAACAAACAATCTCTTCAGTTTTATACGTCAGTATAGATATAGGTAAGTGTATACCCATAACACAAACTGCTTAGCTCGGGACTAGATAGTACTATGTGAATTGTCCAGGGTTATTGTAGTTATAGACCCATAAGCAGTTAGCAAACAGTTCTGTCAAAAATGTCGCAACAGAAGGTATATCTGTAGGACCATTATAAAGGAAAGTTCAAACTAAATTCCTCATATTATTGCGATATGTTACATATTACTAACGTCTTATTAGTATAAATTTCACCGTTCGCACGGTCTTGCTTGTTGCTAGCTAGTGAAACCAACGCCATCAATGTACAATCGTGGGTACTTTCTCACGTCGACACATCGCGACTCTCTGTGATCTAATGGTATTCGTATGGGGAAAATAGAGCTTATACTTTTTTTCTAAGCGATATAGAAGAACATGGCCTATATTTAATACGATAGCTGCATTGCCCTTTGTATCCTTCATGCGTTCCGTTTTTTTTTTGTATAACATATTTTTATTTGTTTTTACTCCCGCTACCACGGGGAAGAGCGGCGTACCTACAAAACTAAAGACACTAAAAACGTCAAACACACGACGATTATTATTACAACAATTAAAGACATAAAATATACTAAAAAAATTAAGAATATCAAAAACAAGCAGACATTTCTATATGCAGTCCCATTGCAAAACAAAACAAAAAAATGCATTGGTCTTTCTCTCTTCTATTTCTCCTGTATAATAAATTTCTATATACATAGTGTACATATATACATAGTATATAATATTAGTGTAATTCACCCATTCTATAAACATTTGCTTTTAAATTGAAAGTCAAAACTTAGACGTTACGAGTCCCGTGAAATAAGAGCCACAAATAAAATAAATATAGGCAGGACCGTTTTGATCTTCCAGTACATCTTCAAATAGCCAGTCCAGACGACCACTTCGTATATGTTTGTCTCAATGTCGGCATTTTAAAGGCCGTTATGTTTCTTTTGGAACGTTCTGAGATTGATCTATAATATCGAAGTTTTTGGTACGTAGGCTATTAAGAGGGATTTTTTAGCTACAGGAGTGTTTTGTTTTTGATGTTATTTTAAGCTGCTTTATGGTTTCTTTAAGTACTGCTTTATATTTGGGAAAAAGTAATATAAACGGACCATTTATTTCTTATTTATTAAGTAGCTACCTATACAATAATAAAAACAATAATAGGTACTTAGATATGTAGAAGTTTTTGCTTTAAATACACTACAACATCTTCAGTACACGGTTAAGTGTATATACAAGCAAAGGGGACAATATTCTTGAACTGAAAATAAATTTCAAGAAGTGGATACATGAAAATAATTTATGAATCTTCATATAAAATGCACTACTGTACTGTATTGATCATGTGAGTACACGTGCAACTAATTGTATGGTGTATAAATGTATTAAATTTTCATGTTTCGCCATCTTTTCTTAGTGACCTGAACCACCTGTTCAGTCTTATGAGTCTTGTACCTAGCTTTTAGCTTGATATATACTATTTATAATTATAAACTGAGTGTCTAATATGCCACACTGGGGAAATGTTAATAATAGGAGGTGGTAGCGCAATTGCTGGCAATGTAGGATACATTCATGTCAACCTCGGTGCGGTTTCGATTTTGCCACAATGTCTTAACTGACCTAATTTTATCCTCATCTCAATATTTTTTACTGAGACCCCGCCAAGAAAATCGGCGCAACCGGGTGCATCATATCATTATCGACTACATACGGACCAGGAGGAATCTGACATTGAGAATGACGCAACTGGAGTTGAGTTACAACGCGAGTTTCAAGGCGTTTGTGGCCCGGGTTCCCACCAACATGAAGGAGGTCTACTGGCCGAAAGAGATGGTGTATCGCCGTTACTGTGGTGGTGATGGTGGCAGATTGCTACAAGACAAATATATTTCATTATTTCTTCATATATATGTTAGTCTATAAGGTACTATTAATATGAGTCCTTACTTGCCTGAATTAAATAATTAAATAAATTAGAAACCACAAAAAAAATATGCCACACTTTTAAATGATTTTATACATACATACCTATGTAACTTTGTCTCTAGAATAATCTGAAGTTATGGGAAAGTTAAAAAGAAGAACATTGCAGTTATAATCAAGAGGAAGCAAAATGAAGAGTGAACTTTGTAAAAAATACAACTATTAGCCAGAAGAGTTGTTCGTGTGAAAATAAATTACTGTGTGCTAGTAATAACCTACTGTGTGCTAGTGAATTTCCATTGTGTAACAAGTTTGTCTGTAATTTTAATTCTTAACTATTTATTATAACAATAAACTTGATACCTTCTATTTAGTTATTTTTATCTCGCAAGTGACGCAGTTTCGGCGTAATAAATGACTTTTCTAGAATTTTATACTTATTATTTTTTATTATTTTATTTTCTTTAATTAACTATAATAAAATTTATACAAATGTAATTGTTTCATGTTAGGTACATAGGCAATTCTACCTTTCTAAACATATAACTACAGACCTACTATATACTATAACTAATAGGTATATAATAAAATAAAAATAAATGCGGTTTGCAAAATATACCGACCAATATTGCATTATACAAACACGAATGTCTGGTTAATAAATATATACCAAATTTATACTTATGTTTCTTCTGTTTTCATAAGATATTGTTTCTTTGTTTTGATGATTTCTTTGAGTTAAACTACTTAATTTTAATGCAGGGATTCTATATTAGGATATATTTTTCTTTAAGCTTCTTAATATACACGAAAATACAACAAATTCGACTAATCAAAATTAACTATCGTCAGTCAAGTCATCAAGTCTTCACGCCCTTACGGTGTAAGGCAGAAGGCACAGAGACATCGACGGCAATACATCTACTTATTTCCCACAACTTTTATAACTCTCTTAAAACAAACTCACGAATTTTAGGAACTTATCTACGACAATAAAATAAATTAGTTCTCCGTACTCTATAGTTTCGTATTTGTTAATGTTGAAGAAAGCTAAACGCCATCTGATTTTAAAGTATAAAGATATTGCCTTGCGACTATGATTTTTTTATACAGCTATGGAGGCAATCAAGTATACGGCCCATCTCATGGTAAACGGTTACCATAGTGTGGAGCCCTGTAACACCAAGGATGTTATGTACGCGCTACCAACCCTTAAAAACCATAATTTATCCTTCTTGAAAAGCCCCATACTGTAGTCTCTCTAACCTCAGCAGATATCTTAGTGTGCGCAGGAGGAAGCTCCTCTGAAACCGCACTGTCTGTGACTTAGGTTCCAGCATGTTTCATGAATTCCCTGTCGGTTTCGAGCGTATCGCATCTAACTAATTAGTAGTCATGAATTAATGTTTTATGCGCACATCAATCAATATTCTTTGACCTAACCATGGTTGACTTGTTGGAAACACTGCCAGGTGGTATGTCCGCATATATACATAAATATCTACTAAATTCTGTTGTATAGTGTGCAATAAAGTTATATAAATAAATATATGTAATAAATATACTCTCTTTCGTTTTACATCTCGAGTACTTACGCTTTGAAGATCTATAGGTTACGTAATCGAATCAGATTAATAGACCGCACATTGCAATTCATTTAACAAAAACTCCGTTAGCATTTCGTAACTAGAGGAAGAATGACGAATAAATAATTACTTTAGTATAAATTGTATTAGTATTAACTGGGCAGGTGGTGATGCTGCCATAACCTATTGATTATAAAAAATATTAGAGTATAATGATGGGTATAGACCCTACTCTCACCTTCCAAATACATCATTATATAGTAGACTTACCTATAATTAATATACCTACTATTCTGACCTATGAAAATATAGTACGTATATTAATCTATTGTGGCTAAAGTCTGAGGCAAGTATTTTCGAATTATTAACAAGTAACTTTACTTTACTTGAATAAATAAAATTTCTAAAATAAATGTAACCTAAGGTATCTGTGATAGATGTATCTGCGAGTGAAAGTTCCGTCAAAATCGGGCTAGCCGTATCAGAATACAGCAAGAACAAATAGGCAGAAATTTAGCGAAATGCTTTTAATTTGAAATTAGAAACAGAGTTTTCAAATTTTTTTACTAATAGATTTTTAATACTGATCTTTCCGATTTGAAATTAATAAAGGAATGACAGATTAGTTTCTACAAAAGATTACAGCAATATTGTCTTTGGCTCACGACAGCAAGACAAGACATATCACGCTTCAGCGCATCGTGATCAATACTTATTGCACACACTAAATAAGGACATCTCAAAATTTCAATCTGATATCTATCTTATTGCAGAGTACTAAAGTCCATTATCATTGCTTGTTCTGTCAAATTTTTACAATTGATATTTAAAATAAATAATTATCTAAATATCGAATGCGTGATATCCTTATTTCCTATAATAAGCTTATTATTATAGGCGAATTTCATGTATGGAACGGAGTCTTATTCTTAAGGAATTTTTATTTTCCATTATTATAGAATTATATTTAAACTTTTTTCATATTGGCACACTTCATTAATTCTGTTTACCAAATATTTACGTTCTTTTTTGCTTAAAGGAATATTCCAAAACACGCAAAATACATTAAGCAAATAATAATCTTTATTAAAAATTATTTCTTTTTGTTTCTTCATAGACTTTTACAAAGTCTTC